AAACCTTCCTGCGGGTGGTGAGTCCACTGGAAGGTACCAACCGCCCTAACCGGGATTCGAACTTGCCCAGGAGGTGAACCCTGGGGTTCCACACCAATGACAGAGACATTGCCTCTGGGCCAAAGCGCCACAATTTTTACTGTATTATTGCTTAATTATTTTGAGCCACATTATGCTACTTTTGTCTGCCTTCACCTTTAGATGGCAGTGAGCCACTGCAGACCCAGACCTGAGGGCAGATTCACTAAGTACCCAACAAATCAAATCAACGAAACAAGTGTGCGTGTTTTGACTCTTACATTGCCCAGTAGGTGGCACTGGTGCTCTGCAGATTAACATATACAGCACTGCTATAAAATGAGAGTAAGATGAGAGGACAGGGCTTTGTGCTCAGTCAAACAGTTAGTCAGCATGCAGAAACTCCTTTTTTTATTTGGACTTTTTGGTAATAACCTTTAACCCACATCAGTATAACTGCTTGATTTCTACCACGGTTACCTTCTTTTTCTCTTTCCCCCCAGGTGTTTGTCTGGGTTTCCAGGTCTATCAGTCTCATTCTGATGTAATCACCAAACCTGGAGCCAAAGTTCAGATCTACTGCACCCATAGTATAACAGATTACAGAGTCATGCTCTGGTACCAGCGCCCATCAGGAGATACTGCTATGAATCTGATTGGCTTTTTGTTGAACGAAAAGGACACAATCGAAGAATCATACAAGGAACATTTCAACATCGTAGGCGATTTAAGAGGAGATGCTGCAAAGAATGGTTCTCTAGTAATCCCAAAAGCTGGACTTGAGCGGACTGCAGTCTACTTCTGTGCAGCCAGTTATGCACAGTGACTCCAGCTCCCACTACCTTTCTACAAAAACTATCTGAAATATTAAATTAGACCACAGTCAGACTCCTCCTAGCTACACTTCAACTGAACCAGCCTCTCTGTAGACCTTTGGACATCCATAGCATCCCTATAATAAGGTAACAAAAGAAGGCAAAGTCATATTTCCTAATTAAAACAGATTTTATGGAAATGCACATGTAAATATGTAATATGTAATAAAAAACAAAGCATTAAATGCTAAACATGCATATGTTGAATAAAAATGTTGTAAACACAGTGCTGCCCTCTACCTACAGACATCTATAGTTTTTATTATTTTGTTCATATTATCACAGCAACTACTGCATCGACATGAGAAAAAGAGTGCACTTAAAGGGGTTTTATTTCAGTAAATAACAGGAAAAGGCAAAACCTATGACACTGTCTCAGTCCTGACTCTGACACTAACTCACAACTCTTTCCATCAGATCTCATCTCTCACATCCCAACTTTAACACACTGCTGCAAGTGGCTGCAACTTTTGCTTTGAACTGGTGTCCGGCATTCCCAACAGAAAACATTTACTGCTCATCTAACACTGTATAAAACCTGAACCACAACAAATAACCAAGCTGAAAGTCTTCTTTTTACTGACTGAAGCTGAATCTTCTTTGGCTACCCCGTAGCATCTTGTCCTGCATTTCAGTGTTATCTCAGTGTAAAATAGGTAGGTGTGGGTGGGGTCAGTAGAGAGAGAGAGAGAGAGAGACAGAGAGACAGAGAGAGAGAGAGAGAGAGAAAGAGAGAGAGGGAGAGAGAGAGAGAGAAACAGAGAGAGAGCAAAGTGTACATATATTGACGTTAATGGTATAATCCCATTCTATACTGCGTCTAAAATTAAGTTATTTTATCAAATCAGTAATCCTAAAAACTCCATATATTGTCCAGCTCTGATCAGTTGGGTTTCAGTATCAGAAGAATCGTGATTATTCATAAGCTGCAATTCTGTCTGGACATCATTTTCAGAAGAGATGATTTTCTCTCTACTCTTCTGTTGTTTCACAGGTTAGTTTTTTTTCTCTAATGGAATTAAATTTATAAACAGAGTTCTCAGTGATATAAATTACAGAAAAAACATTGGGTTTTTTTCACCCTCTTCAGGCATTTGTCTGGGTCTGGAGGTCCATCAGTCTCCCTCTAATCTTCTCTGTAAATCTGGAGACCCAGTTCAGATCTTATGCAGCCACGACAAATCCGACTACAGATTGATGTACTGGTATCAACGCTCCCCAGGAGACACAGCTATGAAATTAATTGGGTATTTGTACTTTAAAGATGTGACCATGGAGAATCAGTATAAAGGGGATTTTAACATTAGTGGGGATTTAAGTGGAAACGCTGAAAAGAAGGGTTATCTCCAAACATCTGGACCTAACAAGACAGCAGTTTATTACTGTGCAGCCAGTTTAGCACAGTGACTCTGGGTTCTACAGTCTTACTACAAAAACCAAAACCAAAACTTCCATGTCCTCAGACATTATATGATTGTGAATGACAACAGACTCCTCCTATGCACTCACAGCAAACCTTTATACTCCACAGTAAAATAAACACTCTGAGCCTGAATTAAAAATAAAATAATCCCAAAAATGATTTATTAACCAAGTGGTAAAAGGCACATTGGAACAAATGGAACAGATTCAGCATGTATTATTATGTATTGTTATTATTCTTTAGAAATAAAAGTACACAGAAAGTATACAGACTTAAACATATCATTTTAATTACTGTCAATATAGACTGTCAAACAAAAATACCACAAGTCAAAGGAAAGAATAATTACAATCCTTTATTTAAAAATAGCAAGATTTGCGAGACATAAACTAATCAACGTTTACGCACACATGGCTGCAGCACCGAACTGTTCTGCACCACTGTTCGACTTCTCTCTACAGTTTTACCTAAATAAAAATTACTGGAAATCAGCTGGACATTGTATAGTAATGAATACAATTGTTTTGTATTCTCAAATACGTAATTGTTGAGGCTCTACTTCACCTCCCTCCCCTAACCCCACCTCACTCGTGCTTCTTGTTTTATCACTTCCTCCATCCAAAAAAAGGGGCATAAGCTGTTGAATCTCCATCACAGAGGCTAAATTTGACCAAGAACGGATATGTTTATTTTTAAAGACAACATGGTCTGCTTTCTAATCCTCTGTTGTCTAACAGCTAGTCATTTAGGTAACAGTTTGTATGTTTTTTTCAAATAGAAACAACACGTTAAGAAATGCTGATCAGCACGATAACATTTGTTTTCTCACCCAGGCATTTGTTTGGGTCTGGAGGTCCACCAGTCTCCCTCTGAACTCATCATTAAAACTGGAGACAGAGCCCAGATTTTCTGCCTCCATGAAAAAACCGACTACAGAGTCATGCTCTGGTACCAGCGCCCCTCGGGACACACAGCTATGAAGCTGGTTGGACACATCTACTATGTGGACCTAAAAATGGAAGAGGTGTTTAAGGAGAACTTTGCTGTTCAAGGGGACATGGCAGTAAACACAGCCAAGAATGGTTCTCTTATTGTTCAGGTGCCCAAGTATGAGCACAGCGCAGTTTACTACTGTGCTGCTCATGAAGCACACTGACACCATAAACCCCATAATGTTAACAAAAACCTCACACAGCTATGTATGGTTAATACTTGGACTGCTGCCAGACACCTGTGTGTGGAGTAGCTGTGCTTGGTCCAACACTCACATAACAGCACAACTTAATGTAAAGTGAGCATGGAATACTAAATATTAAATCTTTGATCATGTAGAAATATGCAGGACAGTTGTGGTTTTCAATACATCAGTGCATACAGCGGCATTACTGTGCTGCTCAATGTTATAACAGACATAAAACTAAGAGTCACTGTTGTGTATAATGAATTATCTATGAATTATCCATCCATCCATCCATCCATTTTCATCCACTTATCCGTTACCGGGTCGCGGGGGCAGCAGTCGCCACCCAAATCACACTGCACCATACCAACCCCCCAAGCCTTCCTGCGGGTGGTGAGTCCACTGGAAGGTATTAACCGCCCTAACCGGGATTCGAACTTGTCCAGGAGGTGAACCCTGGGGTTCCACCCCAATGACAGAGACATTGCCTCTGGGCCAAAGCGCCACTCTATGAATTATATTAATATTATTACAGTTATTACAACAAGGTTGGATTTACATTAAAAATATATTATTGAAGTTGATGCCATCTAATGTATGCTGAAATGTGCTGCTCAACATATGTTCATACACTGACATAGGTGTTGTCACCTATCTACACAAACCAAAGCATTTTTTTTATCAACTGTGGTTTGAATAAAGATTAGAGTACAGCCGTCACAGCCAGCTGCAGTTAACGACTTCATTGAAAACAATATTGTTCTTCAGTGTCACCTGAAATGCAGTACAACAGCTTCATGGTTGAGCACCAAGAAAAAAAAATATATATAAAATAAACTAACTTTCCATGACATCACAATCTTCACTGTACAGTCCATTACTCATCAACAGAGAATGTATATTTAACTTTTACAGATTACAGCAGTGAGGGGTGGGCACAGTGAGGAATGGAATATGGCAAAACGGACACAAGTGTACCACTGCTGTAAAGCTTGAATGATAACAAGCCTCCAGTCACTAGGTGGCAGCAACTCATACAGTGGTTTGTACAGAAAAAAATCTACATATTTCAATTCGCAGGGGCGGGGGAAACATTTCTGTCCCCAAGGGGGGGCATGAGAGAAAATAATTGAGAACCACTGGATGAGAGTAAGTGGAGGAGATGTGTCAAATGGGTGAAGGACATAATGTAAACTAGATAAATTACTTATATAAGATGATGGATGGATTTAGTCCTGGAGAACAACTGCACTACTGCAAGAACACAAAGAAAGAATGATAACCATTATGATAACCAAGGACTGATGTTGGACTGATGTTGGAATTAGAAAACCCAAATAAAAATATTACTTATGACGTCAAAGTGCATATGTATTTGTAGTTATATATTTGAGTGACTAGTGTATAAATATATGTGCAGGGTGTGCCTGTATTTGGGGAGCATTTGTTATTAGCACACATTTCAGAGGGTAGGACATTACAGCTTTCAATTAAAAAAATGGAAAAAAAGAAAGACAGACAGATGGATGGAGGGATATAAATGCTCCTTTAATTGCACTTCATCTAATTACACTGAATTAAAACAACCAGTGGGACTTTTCCTGACATCACTTCCTGTTTCTCCCTCTGAAACAGAGATGTACAGAAGAGTCTGTTGTCGTGTCTCTGCAGTCAACATGACACCATCCACTCTAATCACATCCTTCATCACTGTCTGCTGTATATCAGGTATCAACCACTACTACCAGCTCTTAAACAGTGAAATTGAAATGCATGTACTTTAGGTGAAACGTGGATCCTAACATTTCTTTTGACAGGTGTTCACCTCAGTAAAGAAAACCAAGTACTTCAGACTCCAGCTGACCTTCTGGTGAAAGCCAACAGTGAGGTTAACATCAGCTTGGCTCATTCCATCAACAGCTACGACACAATCCTCTGGTACCAACGCTCAGCAGGAGACAATTCCCTGAAACTAATTTGCTACATTTATTATAAAAAGCCCATTCATGAAAAGGCATTTGAGAAGCGCTTCAGTGTGAGTGGAGACGGAGAGAAGAAGGCTTTTCTTCACATCCAAAACCTGAGTCACCCTCAGGACAGTGCCATGTACTTTGGTGTAGCAAGTATACACAGTAATGAAGAGAGTGACTTTGTCGTACAAAAACTACCAGAAGAATATAGAAGGTAACAGTGGCAGAAGCAAGTGACAAAACACCAAACTTCTGATAAAGTTTTTAGTTTCACATCTTTTATGTTTTCACGAAACACAGGGAGGTTTGAACAAGAGTCATTTAACAGAGAATAAAATTTAAATAATTTAAAAACACAGTCTGTGTGTAGAGATTACAGTTTACGCCAACAGATGGAGACACAGCACATGTATAAAAAAAGGAAGTTGGATGGATTAATGCCTGCACAAACACACACACGCACGCACGCACGCACACACAGACAGACAGAGACTCTTTAACCTGAGCTTCACTCCTCCTCCCCTCAGTGTTGGTCTAACAATGTCTACATCCACACAGACGTTTGTCCTCTTGGTCTCTTTCTACTGTAAGACAAACAAATGTGTCTCACCAACAACATCGCAACTCATGAACTCATCGCCACCCGTTTCTTTATTAACTGACTCTCATGTCCTCCACAGGTCAGGTGAGCGCTGTCACATTTCAACAGTCCCCTCCTCAGTTAGTGAAGGAGAACACCAGGATCAAGATCAACTGCAGTCACAGTGACAGCACCCTTTTGCAGATGCTGTGGTACCAGCAGCTACAGGACAGTCTGTCCATGACCCTCATTGGGTTTACATATAGTGAAAACTCACCCACCTACGAGGGTTCCTCAGAGGAACAGTTCCAGCTGACCAAAGAAGACACATTATCGGGATCTCTGATTATTCTCAGTGCCAGCCTGTCGCACTCAGCAGTGTATTTCTGCGCTGCCAGCACACAGTGATGTGCTTCCACGTCACTCCCTCTCAAAAAATCTGCTTTGTGAAGCACTTGCAGAAAGGCCACACACACAATTTTAAACAACAAAAAGTGGATAAAACTGCAAATGTAAGCAAAGTATTTGTGAGGCTAAATGTACCTGTACACCACAATTTGATGACTTTTACGTCAAGCCTTGTAAGTGATATTTGACTGAACTCTACTAATACTGTTTGATCCATAGCTGTTATTTATATATATAAAAAAATCAAATCAAATCAAATCAAATAAATAAAAATCAAGAAGCATTTTCTACTCTGTTGGGGATTGTAAATAACATCTAGATAAATAAAATCCTACCTTATGTTGCAGAAGCTGTGAAAACATCAAGGTGACTGGAAGTTTCCATGAAGACGTGAACATCCGCCCATGAACCCCTAAACTGTAGGTGGGACCTGGTCAGAGCCACCTGTAGATCCCAGTGAGTGCCTGTAAAGAGAGTGGCCATGTGACCTGTGTCAGAGAATGTTGCAGATATTAGGACAGATATTAATGACACTAACGTACTTTTGTGTTGTTTATTGCGTTTTCTTCCTGTACAGGACAAACAGGTGGTTCGTCCGTTGGACTCAATAATTTTGAGTCCAACTTCCTTGGTGTCAGTGACTCTCTATCAAACTCACACACCATCGTCCACCGTCTCTCTACTCTGGGTCAATGTTCATGTATTTAAAAAAAAAAACGACGTTTCAGAATCAGAATCACAAACATGACTAACCTCAGACACAGAGCTAGCTCTAACTATTTTGGTCCAATAGGCAACGTTATGGCTTTGTCTACCCCTCAGCCACAGAGCCACAGCCCAAACAATAGTAATAGACAACAGCTACAGTGATGGAGAAACTATAAACATCCCTGAGGACATTTTTAAATTTTACCTTGGAACGAGGCACACAATAAATAAATAAATCAACACCCCCGTCATGATAAACAGCTCGAAAATTATAACATTAACTCGGTAAAAGAGTTAACCTTACTTCGCTCGGAGAAACTGTAAAAACGCCCACGAGTTTCCGTGGAGCGTGGAGAGGTAGCAGTTTGGCCGTTGAACACGGCGTAATTAGCATTAGTTTAACAAGTATGCTAATACCACTGACACTCTTGAAAAAGTGAAAAACGTTCATTCAGCCCAGATGTCCTGAATCAATGTTTAATGACACTAACGTACTTTGGTGTTGTTTATCGCGTTTTCTTCCTGTAGAGGCTAAATAGGTGGTTCGTTCGTTTGTATTTTCCTGTGGACACTTGCTAGTTGCACCTGCAGCGTCGGCTCCAAGCAGAACGACAGGTGACTTTCAGTGGGTGTGGTTAAAATGTTGTCAATAAAGCCGCGACCAATCACCTTCCACCTTTTAAAATATGAAACGTTACAGGTTATATAAAATGGTATATTTGCCTTTTTCAAATTAAAAAGGATTCAGGAATAAATGAGGCAACCATGATTGACTAATAGTTACATACAAAACCTAATTTGTCTACTGAATTGTCAGCATTTTAAACGTTCATAAAACAACCCAATATTTGTTTTTTTGTGTTGCTAAATTATCCCACGAGGTGGTGCTGTTGTCTCAAACAAAACTATAAAAAAGACAGGTACGGTTGGGTGTTGGGTTGGGTATTGGTCAGCAGACTTTACTGTCAAAATGTAGGATGAGATCTGGACTACAAATCGTAGGGGAATGACGTCACCAATCATGTGGGTGACATTTCTCCATAAAAAAAAGTCCCCAATAACCAAACACGGTGCTCGTGGACCATTGTATAGTTTCTATTGCAATTATATATATATATAAATCTAGTTCAAATTTGGTCTTTATGTTTGTCTTAATGTTTGTATTTTGCTGAACTAAAAACAGGATCATACTGCATCAGGCAGATGGAGCAGCAGCTGATCGGACCTTCACACAAAGCTGTGTGTAATCATTGTGCACGGGCAGCTTTATGTCCATGTTCATGCATGAGTTCACCACCTGCCTGCAGATCCACTCGCCCTCAGAACAACGTCCTTAGAAGACAACACAGACATCACACACTGACCTCTGCAGAGTTTGCATGGAATTACTGAGGTAAATATAAAAATGAATAAAGATGGATATGTTTGTAAAATGGATTTTAAACTGAAATTACACTACCAATAGCTAACGAAAACTAATGGTAATATATAAACTGTGTTTTAAGCACTGGAAAATGCTGGTTTTAACAGTCTATAACAAAAGTTAGAAAGAAGAAAGTTGTTACTGTCTGTTTAAATACATCTGGGGTCAAACCCATGGCCCGTGGGCCAAACGCAGCCCACCAAGTCATTTTGTGTGGCCTGTGGGAGCCTCTGTAATTATACAGAGCAATGAACAATATTTGTATCTTGAATAAATAATAATCAATTGCAGATACATTTATTAATAGGTTATGGATAAGTTACATGTATACAGTCTTCCATTTACAACCAGCCCTTCCAGGGGAACTGTATTGCTGATCCACTCCAGTCAGGAGTCAAAGTTGTTTCAATCCCTCACTCCCACATTTGGAGAGAAGGTTGACCAAAGGCTCTTAATTATATAACTGTTGTAAATGTGATTCTCCGCATGTGACCTACAGGTGGTGGACTGGTGACCTGTCTGGAGTGTATCCTAATGGTCCATTATCAGAATAAAGGATGAATGATGCTGTGTATGTAAAGACATGGAATACCTGCGCAACATGAGACTTGGTTACATCACAAACACACAGGGGGACGAAGAGGTGTGACCAGGAGTGATGTCACTTCCTGAACTATCTACAAAAACCTGCAATCATCCAAAAAACCCTCTTCCTTTTCCTCTTTTTCTTACCAGCTGTTCTGTCATCTTTTCTTAGCCGACACAGAAATAGTAGCAGCCGGGTTGAAGCTGCGACCTGAACAGCTGCTCCCACAGTCTGAGATGGAGGCTGAGATATGGCGAGTGGGGGGAGGAGAGAGGAGGAGGAGGTGAGGACTGGAAACACTTTAGGTTTTTGTGTGATGCTTTTTCACCGTGGGGACAGGGGGGCACAGTGATACATTCCCATAGAGCCGCTGTACAAAAACCTCCTCCCATTCACAACCATTATACTGACGGCTGTATGTGCAGCTGAGCCGATCTGACTGAGCAGAAAACCTCCATAATCTGAGGAAGGCTTGGATTACACAGTACTCTGGGATTACAGCTATATCCACATCCAGGAAACATTTTTAATATAATCTTTTAGCAACATTTTTACGTCATGTTCTCCTCCACTTGACACAGATTGGATATTACAAAGCCAATCCGGCAGGATTTAAGCTTCACCTGTGGATTATTTATCTGTTTCTAAACTGCGTTTTTGCGGAAATGTTTCAGACTTTTTGTGGTAGAGGACAATCAGTGTGACACTGGATATGAACCCATCTTTGGCCCTGGAACCAAACTGACAGTGTTGGGTAAGTCTGAGCCTCCACCACTCCAGTCCACAGAGATAAAAACTTAGGAAAGAAAAACACTGCTGGGATTCTGTGGAGAAAAACTAAAATGTGAAATAGTGAGCTGGGCTGAAAACACTGTGACATACACTGAGCCGGCTTACTTTGGCCAAGGAACCAAACTGACCGTTTTGGGTAAATATATGCATTTACTTTTGTTTGTTTGTGAATATTATATCATCTGTTAACACCTTTAAAGTTAACATTACATTTAACTTATAACCTAGCAGTCATTATTCTGATACGAAAAGCACATTTAGTTTCATGTTTGTTTTTAGCAAACTACTCTTAAGAAGAAGAAACAATCTCACACTGATGGTTAACAAAATATAGATATAGATGTCGTGGTGTAAATACAACAACATTTAATCAAACTCAAAATGGTAAATATTGAGCCGTGTAGAAATCACTGTGAACTATGGCGACCCTGCATACTTTGGCCAAGGAACCAAACTGACAGTTCTGGGTAAATATTCCAAATTTCTTACTCTTATGTAACTAAGTAGAATGGATTCACTGACAGTCAAAGACTGGATTGCGACCCAAGGATGGGGTCACTGGAGGTATTGTTTGGGTCAGGAAATAAGGTGGTAGGATTGTGTCTGAAATTCAAATCCCTGCTCGAGTGTAGCGCCAGGTGAGGATTTAAATGAAATTAGTAGCAGAAATCTGTCAGAAATGGTTCTGGTTCAGACAGATTCGTAGGTTCACTGCTCTATGTGTTTTCACTGTGACAATGCCAACGAAGCCTACTTTGGAAAAGGAACCAAACTGACAGTTTTAGGTGAGTCCATGCTTTTGCTACTTGAATGCAAAATTCAATATAAACGTAAAAATATTCCAGCGTAATATGAGAAATCCGAGGCAAAAAAGTGTGTGTGTGTGGATGGAAAACAGGAAAAGTGAATTACTGAACTGAGTAGAAATCACTGTGATCACTTACCTGCTTATTTTGGACAAGGAACCAAGCTGACAGTTTTGGGTAAATATTTCTATTTCGTTGCTCTTTTTACAACAATTAATAAGAAAAAATCTGGTCAGAGTTTGTTTAATAGATTAGTTCAGTGAAATATAAAAAAAACTTTGGTAAAGTGGCAACTCTGACAGTTTTTAATGTTGATCAAAAAATTTAGTTGAAAAAATGAAAAATTGTACTGAGTAGAAATCACTGTGAATGATGGACGGCCGGTTTACTTTGGACAAGGAACCAAACTGACGGTTTTAGGTAAATATTTCCACTTTGTTTCTCTTTAAACCTCAAGTATTGACACAGAATCCGGTTAAAATTCCTTAAAATGTGTATGCAGTAAACTTAAAACTTCTAAATTCCAAAAATATTTAGTGTAGTGCTAAAACTTCACATTTGCCTACTCTTGAACAGGGACAGATCGAACAGTTCTGACTCTTAATTCCTCCAAGATCATCCTTGCTAAAAAATATTAATTGCTAATGTAAATGTAAAGGAACCAATGTGTGAAATTCTGCACCGAGGAGAAAACACTGTGGCCAATAACTACCCAGCTTACTTCGGAGCAGGAACCAAACTGACTGTTTTAGGTAAATATTTCCAAATATTTATCTTTAATGTCGCATGAATTCAGAACATTTTCAAGTTAGGGAATCAGTAGAAAATCTTCTAAAGGCTTAATAACTGTGGAAACATTGGACAATGTACAGTTACCTGTGAGTCTGAGCGAAATTGTTTTTAATTTTGCGGAAGTTTGAATTTGGTTAAAATAGAAGAAACACTCTTGAAGTGTAAAAGAAACGGTGAAAAAGTCAATTACTGAGCTGAGAGGGAAACACTGTGAGTGGTTCTTACCCTGCTTACTTTGGACCAGGAACAAAACTGACTGTTTTAGGTAAGTACTAACATTTATTACTGTTAATCCATAAATGGAACCCTGCTTTAGATGGTCAGTATTGACTAAAAAAACTTAAAAAAAAGAATAATTTCAGACATTAGTTTGGTTTTCCCAGTGGTGATTCTCATATATTGAACTCTGTCCCGAAAAAAGACTGCAACTGAAGCAGTAAAAATAGTGAAATAATAAGTCGGGCAGAAATCACTGTGTCCAAGATCGAGCCAGCTTACTTTGGACAAGGAACCAAACTGGCAGTTTTAGGTAAATATAATTATTTTATTCATAACATTATATTTCTTATGATTTAGGATTTTTTTTTAAAAATGTCCCCATTAAAAACTCAAAGATACAGTTGAGACCTGAGGGTTTGATGCTCAGTGTCTTCATGCTGTGTTAACACTGACATTGCTTACTTTGGAGTTGGAACCAAATTGACTGTTTTGGGTAAGTAAAAGTGATGAAAAAGACAGAAAAGTGTAATGGATTTGTTTACTTAAATTGTTATTTAGAGAGCAAAAATGTACCCAGGTCTGTGTAGTTGAACTCGGCTCAGTACTTTTTGACAGTAGGACTCAACACTGTGTCAATAATGAAGCTTATTTCGGTGCAGGAACAAAACTGACTGTTCTTGGTGAGTAAAACATCCCATTTCACTTTCACAAATTTAACTGAAAAATATGGGTCTAAAGTTGTTTAAAAACATGTTTAAGTGTGTCAAAAGTGCATTAAATGTAGCTTAAGTGTCAGGTTAGAAGAAAAGAGTTGTTTAATTGAATACATGTAACTCACTGAAATGAGTTACGAAGCTAAGAAAACACAGCAGCTCAGGCTGTTTTCAGCACTGCTTGGTTTCACTGTGAACTCTGGTGTCGATGCCTACTTTGGTGGAGGAACCAAACTAACTGTTTTAGGTAAGACACTGTCTTTATTTTTTATAAAAAAGTAACATATAAATTATGAATGCCTTCAATAGTAGAACTTGATGTTAAATTCACCAGGGATAAACTTGAACTTAAAAAAAAAATAGACACAATTCACTTGTTGTCTACAACTGTACTACTGCATCCAAGATATATATTTTATATTTATGTCTTATATCAATTTAAGTTATATATTCTAGTGCAGAGAGATGTGTTACAGCAGACATAATCCAAAAAAGACGACTTAAAGACAAAGACCTGTACCAGAAAGTATATACTGTATTATTAAAAAGTAACAGTATAACCAGTATAATGATACCAGCAGTAATATAGGTCAGATATACCTTAAGGTAAGGCTACCTTAAAATGCCTAATCTCTGGTCTATCACTAAACGAAATAGTTCATGTTTTTCGATTCAACATTAAAAGTTGTTTTGAACAATAATATCCAAATTTCATTCAAGACAAAAAGATTAAGACGAAGATAAAGGTGATAGTAATAAAAAAGTAGACAATGACAAAGACGGCGGAAACAACCTAGTTAAAGGGATCATTTAAAATAACTCAAAGAATAAATTGAATTAAAATTTGAAAAACCAGAAAAACAGCACAAGATAATCCAGGGATTAGCTCGCTAATTCAGAGATGAAATGTAGCATGAAGATAATCACAACGTAACTCAGAAAAGGCTAAAAAAGAACGTCACTAAGAAAGAGGAAAGAATGCTACGACTTGGGCGTAAAATAGCTAAAACACAGCTGGAAAAACAGACAATAACAATTCAAACATGCAGCTCAAGCTATGCTAAGAAACAGCGAGGAATAAGCAGAAGCAATGCTAAGAAGACATAAATGTGAATGTTATGAAAGACCTTAGTGAAGAGTTAGCTCAAAGGTAAGCCAAGAAAGGCAGCTAAGATTAGGCCACGTGGAAAGCTTAAACTAGGTCAGTATAATAGCTGAAGCTGCTCCATGTATATAGCTTAAGCTAAGCCAATAAGGTAGCTAAAACTAAAAAAAAGAAGATAAAGTAAGCCAGTGAGATAGCTACAATTAAGAACATATGGTAACTAGAAGGTATGCCAAAAAGACAGTTAAAACAGTGCTATATGGGTAGCTAAAACATCAAGATGGTAGCTAAAATGGTTAGGCCATGAGGGGGGCTTAAGGTAAGTGGATAAAGCAGTCTGGTGTTAGCTAAGAAGACAGAATAAACTTTACTAAAATGATATCTTAAAGAATTGGTCAATAAATAGCCAAACCTAATCTATTAGAATACCCAGGCTATATAGTCAAGATAACTAATAGCATTAGCTAAAAAATACCTATAAATGTGCAATTAGGTTGGACTTGTTAGATACTGTTGAAGAGCAACCACTCAGCTAAGAAGATCACTAAGACTGATCAGAACCCAAACAAAGCAGCTTGTGTAAACTCAGCTGAGCTAGAGCAGCTAAAGATTATTTAAACTCAAGTCAAACTTCAGTCTTAGCTGCAGGACGTAGCCTAGATGGGCCCCAGTAAAAACAGTTAAAGTTCAAGGAAGTTGTTTTAGCAACGAGCACCTGCACTGTGACTGTTTCCTCTGAGGCTTACTTTGGTGCAGGAACAAAGTTGACTGTTTTAGGTAAGAAAACATTTTCTACACGTCTTATTTTGTATGAAGTTTAACAGAAACAGACTGGCGAGAGGTGAATCAGAATTTCTAGCTTGTTGAAAGTTGTGAGTAGATTGAAAAGAGTCAAGAGAAAAGCAGCAGAGTAGCAGGTTTTTGTCAGAGCTGTGAGGCTCTGTGTGGGTACGGAGAAGCTTATTTTGGAGCTGGAACCAAACTCACTGTTTTAGGTAAGAAATCCTACAAATATATATATATATATTCACTAATACAGTGTTTGAATTGATATCATACAAAATACTGGAGCCAGAATTTAAGACAGACATCTTCAACTCAACTTTAGACCCGAGAAAATTCACGTTGTTAATTTAGAATGTAATCAGAAAGAGTTTGAAAACAATCGCCTGTGTTTCTGAGATGAAACATCCGGAAATAAATCATTTGGCTTAATGCCCAGAATATTACAGTATCACAGTAAGAGTGAGTACTTATCAGCCCTGCTGTGAAATACTGTGTTTCCAGTCAGAGGCTTACTTTGGAGCTGGAACCAAACTCACTGTTTTAGGTAAGAATATGTCAAATACTTCACAAATACGTACAATCAACAGTAAATATATACATTAAAAAATTAAAGAAGTCATAAAACTGCAAACATTTGGTTTAAGTGCAAGGTTGGTGTAGGTTCGCTGTATCTGTACTTTTCAAACAATAAACACGAGTTAAGAACTCTCCATAATAATTAGTTGGACTAAGTTAGTGCAAGTGAGCTGTAGAGTTTTTTCTTTCTTTTTTTTTTTTTTTTTTGGTTAAATCTTTGGACAGAGAGTTCCGTGCTGAGTAGCTGAGCACTTTTACCTACAGCTCTGTGTCAGTGTGAGCAACTACTTTCCAGCTATCTTTGGAGCTGGAACCAAACTGACTGTCTTAGGTAAGAGCTTTTCAGTTCTAACACAGTTCTAACATTCACAGTTGGCGATGGTTTCTGACCGTTGTTTAATTACATTTTCAAATCTGTTGTTAAACCTAAAAAGATTATATTCTTGTGTCGTGTGTTGCCATGCAGAGTTGCAGTGAAAACAGCAAACAAAGAGAGCGACATCTGAGACAAATCGATCAAGACTTAAACAGCACACGGACAGATTCATGCGTTATTTTACACAACGAAAGGACAGATTAAAATATGTGGACAAGAGAAAAATTAATGCAGATTTAAAATAAAAGAAACAGAAACACATTTTTACAACATCAGTTATAACGTTAGTGTTGGTTAAGGTTATGGTGGAAACTGTTTTATTATCAGTTGGTTTTTTTTGTTTCGTAAGTTGACGTAAGTTGCACGTGAAATATTTGCAGTGGTAACAGTCATAACAGGGACCTTGTTATTGCCCGAAAAATATAGAGAGTCAAAAGTGTAGCCTTCAGGTGTTTCCATATTCTTGACAGGAAGTTAAAATATTTAACCGTTGTATATTTAAAAGGTTAGATTTGGTTAATGTTAAAATGTGTACAGACACTGTACTTTAATGCTGATCCTCTATTGTAGTGGTTGCCAAAGTGGAGGGCGAGGCCCCTAAGGGGACCCAGGGCAAATTAAGTTAATTTTAGTTTAGTTTCTCTATTTGTGCCACATTTGTGTCGTCAATTAATGACAATAACGTCATCCACGTCTCTACTGACACTTTGGAACTGTTATAAAGGCACAGGCTTAAAGGCACAGGCTTCTCAGAAAACCGCAAAAAAAAAAACAAAAAAAAAAAAAAACAAAAAAAAAAAAAAACAAAAAAAAAAAACCTTTGAAACATGTTTTCCCAAAGAAAAGGTTCATTTGCTCTTATAGCCAGTTGTTAAACCAGGGTTTGTACAGTTCTTTAAAAACTCCTGAGCTCAATTTGGGACAAAGTGGTTAAAAAAAATCATTAATCTGCTGTTTCTGACTGAACAGTTAACTTCACAACATCTGGATCCTGTATACGTATTTTATATGTATTTACAAATGTGTTTTACAGATACAGATATATATACATATTTAAGTGTGTGTGTGTGTGTGTGTGTGTGTTACTGTGAGCTGAAAAACGAATTTTAAATACTTGATGTTCTATGATTAACAATTAAATAACAAGATCCAATAAGAATGAAGATACAGACAAAAGAGCCTTTAAACACTGTGATGGTAATGTGGTAATATTTGGTGAAAATACTATGAAAGAATTAATGAAGAATGTTGCGTTAGAATACTTTTCATTTCAAATATTCATTTTGGTTGTGTTGTTGATATTCTAACACAACCACACAGACTTTAAAATCATTGACCAACAGGCTGGAACTTTCGTCTTCAGATCGCCAACGAGTTAGCCCGCTTACTGACAGAGTAGCCGCAGCAAAGACAGATTTTACTGACTCAAATATACTGAGGAAACTGTAAGACTGAGGGCTGTGGGTTTGATTCCCAACTAATAGTGGTGGATGCAAGTACAAAACAACAGGTAAAGCTCCATCCACCTGAATTTAATGTAAAATCCTGGACCAAAGGAAACCTGGTCTGGATGATTCTAGAAGCAGTAGAAGAGTTAGCAGGTCATTCTGAGACCAGCACTCATTTTCTCCAGCTTTAACTTATTCCTTCAATCCTTTCTCCACCAGAACATGACGTCAAAGAACCCAAAGTCGAAATACTTGGTCCATCTCCAAAAGAGTGTCGCAATGAGAAGGACCATGAGAAGAAGAAGACCTTACTGTGTGTGGTCTCAGAGTTCTATCCAGACCACATCAGTGTGTTCTGGCAGGTGAACGAGAACAATGTCACCAGTGGTGTAGCGACGGACGAGATTGCCCAAAGAGATGGCAAGTTCTACACTATGTCCAGCAGACTGAGAGTCTCTGCTGAAGACTGGTTCAACCCTGAGAACGAATTCAAATGTATCGTCATATTCTTTGATGGAGAAAACTATCAACGTAATGAAAGCACAATCAATGGCGAACAAAGTAGGTAGAAAACCTAAACTCTGTCCATGTAAGAACCATCTGTCCATTCTGATCTAACCCATTTCTCTGTCTCCACCAGGTACAGTTGAGTTGAACTATAGGGACAAATACTTGAAGGCCACACAGAAGGTCAAACTCTCCTACACGGTCTTCATCATCAAGAGCAGCATCTACGGAGCCTTCGTGGCCTTCCTGGTGTGGAAACTTCAGGTTGGTCAAAGACGACACACTTCCAAACAACTGCACATGAGGAAACACCAAGTTTACATCTGAAATGCACCGTAAAAAATATTCAATTTTGTCTGTTTCAGAGATCAACTGGAAAATAGAACCGAAGGATGATGAGTTTCGACGGTCGGACTTTGGATGTGTAAATAAGAGTTGGGTTGAGGTGTTTAGTTCACTGACAGTTGTGTGTTTGTAGTTGATTATTAGCTGTACAAGTTGATCACAACTCAAATATATCAGAATACATATAGAGAACTCACCACTGAACAGACAGTGGTCAACGATCAAAGTTGTGGTCCAGTCCGAGTCTGAGTCACAAAATGAAAATTTAAAATCAAGAGTCAAGTTTGATAACTAGGTTCAGTTCTGGGCCGCAGATCAAGGATTCATTTTAAAGTCACTGAAGGAGCATTTAGGTGGAGTTAGACCCTAGTCTAGGTCCTGGTCCTGGTCATCACATAATACATGTTCTAATGATTCAGACACCAAGTCTAGTTTCTATATCTTCGAGACATTAAAGGACTCTTGGTCCCAGTGCAAGTCATTAAAGACAGGTTTGACTTTAGTCTTCCTCAAGTCCTACTGGTTTCATGTCAGACGTCTGAAATATACAAATGAAATACAAGACGAGTACAAGTCCAGATGATCTATGGTTTTACATCACTCCATACAGATGACTATCAACATTGTTTCAACTGCAGTGGTCGACATCAGAACAGATTAGTGAGAAGTGGTAAAACAAACACATCACCAAAAAAACACCTGTTTTCTGAAAATACATAATTAAATACAAAGACTGATTTCTGTGAAAAAGTCCAGTTTCTGTAAGTTAAACATATTACTGTCTTTGTTATAACTGCTTTTTAGACGTGTCTTTGTTTTTCATGTCAAACGTGTGTCTTTTTAATGAAGCCTTTCCTACGTAAACAATAAAGAAAGAAATAAACTCCATTGTCAACATGGTTCAATCTTTCCAACCGACATCTGAATCTAAAACTATTTCTGATCAACACACGTATTTGTGACACATTTAGTGAATCGATCATTTTTTTCATACTGCATAACATTTAGGGCCGATCATACCAAAAGTTGTTGCTTAATAACAGCTGATGTGTTAGCCTTTGGCTAACTTTTAATAAGCCTTTGGTTAATCTTATGAGTTAACTTTACTTCCTACATTTTATTTTTGTTACTGCAGTTAAAGTGTGTCTAGTTAACACATTTTTGGGAAATCAAATCAAATGAATTTTTAGTTAATGCTGACTTAGTATTGAGCCGTCTTTGCTATTCTTGTTCAATCATATTATTGTTATGTGTCAGTTATATGTATATATACATAAATATATATTACAAGAATTTACAGTATGATAGAAAATTAAATAAGACAGCGAGAATCTAGTCCCATATTTGTTTTTGAATTTAAAATGACTTTTCTATCCAAATGACTTGTTTCAGACACATGATGAAAAGAATTCAATGAATGGAACAAAATCTTGTCAAGATACATATGGCAAGGTAAAAGAGCTCAGACCTGGTTTGAAACCCTACAGTTGTCAAAAAGAAATGGTGGTTAGGGCCACCTTTACCTCAGAGAGGACTACTGGGCAGCACAATTAAGGACCATCGTATGCTGGTGGAACGGAAAATCATTGAAGAGAGCCCGACCTCCACTCCCATAAAGGGGCTGATAGTCAACAGTAGCCTGGAGAGCTGTAACCCAGGGTTAAACATACTGTAGATGCATCGTCTCAGGTCTTTAAAAAGGGCTGGTGAGCATTAAAGCAAATTCAAACAAAATGAGGACTGGAGGGAGGATGAGGATCTGATGGAGGAAGAGTGGACACACCTGTTCATGGTCACTGGTGTTTCATTTCTAACAGAAAAGGACATTCATGCTAATGCTCTATGGCTAATGATTGTACTGGATCCCCAAGCTACAAGTGTTGCTGAATGGCAATAAAATGAGTAAATAAAAAAAAGTTCTATATTTTTGTTATGATTTGAAGTTTGGCCATAGGTTCCTTGACATTTTTCCATGTCGATAATTCCATCATTTGGATTAGTCACAAATAAAAACACATCCAGTGCCCTGCTGTTATTTGTCGTTCTGTTACGGAAATAAGAAAAAAACAGAAATAAGGATATTGTCAAAATTAGGAATGTCATGTACAGATATACTGTACGATATTAACGTGTCACAGATTCTCACATTGAGGCCAAATCTAGATATACTATTTAGGACATTTCCTGCTCATGTCTGACCTCGTGTGAAGTGTATTGTCCTTAAATGGAGTTCAGTCATTTTTTTTCCCCTCAGTGTTTTCCACAGCTACTACTGATCTGTTAGAGTGAAGTATTTTTAGCAGCTCACCCACTTTTTCTGAGAATCGGCTGCAGCTTCACCTACATCAAACACCTCTGCTTAGAAAAACCTCACAGGACGACGATAAGAAACTTTCCAGATACACAACTGGCATGGAACCGTACTAATGTCACCCCTGTCTGATGATGAGAAGCTGAAAAGACCTGCAGTTTGACATGTAGACAGTGTGTTGAGGAGAGGACACTCAGCTGCTTTTGACGTCTTCACCAAAAATACACATCTCACCATAAATGCCTTCTTTTCTGGATGCAACAAATGTATGACGGGGGTTGAGTGTGAATAATGGTCATTAGCTAGTTTTTAACCTATTTTGGCGAACTTTTAGCTACTTTCTTTAGTTTGGTTTTGATATATTTCTGGGTTTTTGAACTAGTTTTGGCCACTGAACTAAATTCTCTTTCCTATAATCTAACAAAAGAAACCTAATCTAATGTAATTACCCAACAGAACTGCTGATCATTACATGATTTTCACAGACTGACTACATATTGGCCAGATAAATATTCAGAATATTTAACTTTGTGCCTTTCATCAATCATCACAAAATCCTCAACTTACAACAAAAGAGATGAAAACAGACAGAGCGACCACCGGATGTTTGCTCAGTGACACAAACATGAAGTGATTGTTTGTCTTCAGTTGACACAGATAGTCATAGTTTTTCCAGCTGTTTGTTCAGAGCATCATAGCGTGTGTGTGTGTGTGTGTGTGTGTGTCTCGCTGCAGAGCTGCAGGTGCGTCCTGAGAGCTGCAGGCTGTGGTGAGGTTCGTCACCTCTGTCATTTGTCGGAGCACAGAAACAAGAACATGAGGTCTCTGTGTGACCACATCCTCTCCCACACTGACACCGTCTGCTCTTCTGCACGGTTTCAAGATCCATTTACCAGCAACAGCTCCAACCCCGTTTGGTCTCTGACAGAGCTGGAGGTTTTCATTTCCTGTTGATGTCGACAGAATCGTTACGTGTAATTTTCCACTCTCAGTAACAGAACTTTAACATCAGATAATTAAGTTTTGTGCTTTTGTACAAGCGAGTGTGTTTTTTTTGCGCAATCAATCAATTTACAGAAAATATTAATCATATCACAAGATAACTGTGCAATGACCACAATTGTAATGTATTATGAGTAATCAGGATTAAACCCAATCCTAATTTACCATGTTTAATCACAATCCTAATTTATCATGTTCAATGGTAATTAATCACAATCATAACCTTCCATGATTAATCATAATCAATCAGAATTTATCATCATTAATCTGAACTAAATTTGACAAAAACTTTTCTAACGGACTTTATCTCTAATTCAAATGATGGAATTATTACTATAGAAAATGTCAAAGAAATGTGTGTAAAAGTAAAGGTAAATCTCAAATCCAACCAAAAACACACAATAACCATGTAACTGTTTTCATAGTTGCTGAACTTTAGTCAATACTGTGCATCATAACGACGGCTTGAAGAGTGTGTTGAGAGTTTTTTCAAAACTTGTGTGAAACCGTTGTCCTCAACAATAATAATCAGTCTCTCACACACCGTTGTGTCCTCATGTTCTTCCTGTGTCGTATTAGAGCGAGTATAAGAGGATGAACTCAATCTTCACACACTCATTCATTTCGCAGCCCTAATTTTTCCAATTTATTGAATAAAACACATGTCCTAAACACCTTGTAATAAAGGTGGAGCTGGAAGTAGAAAACATATCACTTATACTTTTATTCTTTAAATATAAAACTTTGGTAAAATCATAAGTGAAGGTAAAAATGTAGAATATTGAAGAACACACTGATTTAAAGTTCAGTAGAACTGATCCCACTCTCAGGACCATAACTGCCATGGAGGATGAATGAAATACTTTTTGTAAGCCGACTGATTGCCAGTATACACTTCTAGTTGTTACCTTGTTGTTTGCCTGCTTTGTCTGTGTCTTAGATATCAGTTCACAGATAGACAAATAAGAGCCTTTGTTGTTGGACTGATGACCAATCCTCTTTCAGTAATTCAAACTGACTGTTTGGTGTTTGTTCATTTTTTTATTAAAATATGATTTTATTAACACATACCAACATGAAAATACTGAAAACACAGTTCAGGTCAGATGTTGCTGAATCAGCATCAGGTGCACTAACATATGAAGTATTGATCAAAAGGACAGTGGAATGTGTTGTCAGAATCTCTTTGGCCTTCAGTAAAACCTGAGAGAAATAACTTATTATAAAATATTACGGGGACGTCTGGCCTCGTCTCATTCTAAACCAAAGACAGGTCAGAGGACAGAAGTCCAGTCAGCAGCAACTCTGACTCTCTGTTTTGTCTCTGTTTTGTCCTTTGACAATGACATTATGCAGACTAGAAAACTAAAGCCTGTTGGCTTAAAGCAGTGGTTCCCAAAGTGGGGCGCAGGCCTCAGGGAGAGTGAGGAGGCGTTAGTCAAATTAATATTAATTCTATATCAATAAGGGTTTAGTAGGATTTATGACGGGGTTGCAGTGGTTGGACTGTGTCAGGAAGAGGATCCAGTGTAAAAACTACCAGATCACTATGAGGAACACCACTGTGACGACCCCTGGTGAGAGGTCAGGTCAAAAGTCACAGTGTTTTATATATTGAAATTTCAAGCTGTGATAAAAGGTTTAAAAGACTTAGATCTTTACAGTGAACTGTATCAACCATTGAGAAGATTAAAAAATGTCAATATTTTGTTCAGTTCATTTTTGTCACTGTTGAACCATTCACCACTTTGACTGTGGTGTCAAAGTATCAACTCAACATCTACTGTTTCTGTTAATATGAAGGAAGTGTGTGGGTGAAACATGGCTTCTTCATACCCCTGTATCCATTGTTTTAAAAACCTATTTTCCGCAGCGTCAGACCTGTCGTCCAAACCTGTTGTTGCTCTGTTGATGCCTGGTACAGCTGAAGCAGCAGAAACTGGAGTAGTAGGAGTTGGAGCAGAGCCGGGCGTAGACGATCAGCTGACAGTTCGCCAGCTCAGGCTGGTCCACACATTCTGGAGGAACACCATCACCACCACCTGAGACGGCAATGATTAAAGAAGGCATCAGTCAAGCAGATGAGCACATGAGCACCCCCTCCTGTTAAAGTATTTAGACTGCATTAAACCAGGGGTTTTCAACCTTTAGCTTTTTTTTTTTTTTTTGGCTTAATCATTGAGCATTAATGGCATACACTTCCATGACTTGGAAAAGCTCTGATAACATTAGGTCTGAAAAATGGTTTGTCATTTCAGTGACTTTGCGTTGGCTCATGGTTAACTTTAATGTCACATCCAGTATATAACAAATGGCAGTACTTGGTTCTCTTGGCTCACTGTAAACTACAAAGTTAACAACATACAGTATTAGCTTCAGCCTGTGAGTGGGATCAATACATCAATTTAACCTGTTTTTGTCCTTCAGCCCCTGGGGGGGGGAGGGGGGCATCCCCCATCATGGCATCAAACTAAGATGCAATGTGTAAAATCTAGTGCAGTGATCCACTGCAGGTGTTGTTCACACTGTATTGTGCTCATATCATGACAACTTCTGGTTATTGTCATATGTATTTTTTGCAGATTGAGATGGAGCTCATAGAAAACTAAATCTAGAGCTGTGAACATGTACAGAGTTTAAAGTGTAGAAATAGAACAGACTGATTCCAACAGGTTCCTGTCTTTTAGCTGTCATGCTAAAAGACTATAAGACATTCAAACAAGTGACATCTGACAGACCACAGAATATAAAATGTCAAAACCATTCTTAAAGGCCAGACAAAACTGTTGGTATTAATGAGTGAAAAAAAAAGAAGAAAAACATTAGATTGAATTGAAATGATGTCTGGGTCAGGCTGACTAGTTTAGACTGGATCTGGGGGAGAAAACTTGTAGTGTCCTTAGATTAAGAAAAAGAAATCTCTACATCGTGGACTTCTGCCTGTCTGTATGTACTGTATACAGAGTTTAAAGTGTAGAAATAGAACTGCCTGTCTGTATGTACTGTGGGACATTCTGACAATCCTTCCTGACGATGTCTTTAAATCCTAAGGGATGGGTGTGGGGGACAGTCGGTCTGTCTCGAGCCTCTTACCCAGCTGTGTGTCTTTAGTGACCTTCACTTCAGCTGTAGCACTGACGGAGTAGATCCCAGTGTAAGCGTTACAGGTGTAGGTGCCCTCGTCGGAGGGCTTCACATTATTCAGGATCAGGCTGCCGTCAGGCGACACCAGAACGTTGTGACCATCTGGACGAACCAGGACACCGTTCCTGTTATAAATCAGAATCAAACACGTGAATGACTTTAAAGACGTTTTAACATGTGTTCATATGAAGTCATTCCAGGTTAATAAGATTCTGTAGAAATAATTTATTGTATCGGGGAAAAACACAAGATAATACTTTATATTAGAAATAAAACGGTGGATGAAGCAGGAACAAGTAAATCATTTTTTTAAATCATTTATCATTTTGCTTATTTAACATCTGGGACTCTTTTGTTCCCGCTCGTCTTCTGTCCACATCATTACAACAACAAATGTGGAATCATTCTCTACATTCAGTCCAAAAAAATAAATGAAAAAATCTCAATTTTGACCTGGACCAGCCGATGTTGATGTTGTCTCCTGACACCACACAGGGCAGAACAGCTGTGCTGCCCTCAGACACCTGGACATTGTTTGGAGCTGTGGTGATCTTCAGGTCCACTGGACAACAGCATGAAGACAGACAACAAATACATTAACATCCATTTTTAAATAAAACAACCAGGGGTTCATCATTGCACTAATTCTCTGCCCTGAAACAGTAAAACTTCCTCATGAAGTCAATGTGGATATTGTACCGCCACCTGCTGGTGACTACATGAAATTACTCGAAGGATCTTGAGCAGAAACAAACCTTGGACTTTGAGCTGCAGTTGTCTCTGCTCCAACTGATGTGGACTGGAGGCCGTGCAGGTGTAAACACCAGAATCCTCAGACTTCAGTCCACTGATGACCAGTGTGCCATCAGAATTTGGGCTGTATCTACAATGTCAAAAAATTGCACAAAGGTTATCAATAACTTTTAAACACATTTTAACCAATAAATATAAACTACACAAACAAATGTAATTGTTTTACAGTAAAAGTGCTTCAGAAACCAAAAAAAGAGGAGCTATGTTTCACTAAACTTTGTTCCTGTCAATGATGTACTGTAAGAGTCTAAGAAGATTTGTATTGACAGACTTACCTGGGGTCACTTAAGGTGTGTCCATCTTTTGTCCATTGAATCAAAACTGACTGCAGAGCAGAGGGAGGGACAATAAGACAGGGCAGTCTTACTGTTTGTCCTGATTTCATTTCTAGCAGCGATGAACCTGATTGGTCGATGCTGAACCTGTGAAAAAGAAAAATTCAAACAAAGGCCAGTGACCTTTGGGACATTTAAAATTGCAAAGCAGTGAGATGCCTGGTCGTCAGGACGATTCTTACCGGGGTAACAGACCTTTAGTGAGTGTTGGAATGGGCTGAGACGGTCCCTCTGTGTGAGATCAAACAGATCAACAGAGAGGTTTGGGGGTTTTGTACATATCTTTAGCAGCTACTTGATCACAGAGAGGTTCTATGTGAGACTAGAATGGTCATTTATAGTATGGTGAGAAAAAAAAACATTCAAATGTAAGTAACTTTTTAACAGCACCAGAAGTACCAGAATAAAAAGATATTGGTCACATGTGTAAGAGACATGACAAGACATTGTTTTTACTAATTTAACCTCTCTCTTAGTGGAATCAGCCAAATAATAGAACTCTTAAAAAGAGTTTGTCACATGAACGGTTTTACAGCTGTAACTGATCATGTGACAGACGGTGACAGTTGTATATTGTCAATTAAAAAGAGAATTTTAAGCACTGTCTGAAGTTGAACTAAATTATCCACAATTTCAAAAGTGCACAAACAAAATCAACCACTGATGGTGTAACGGAAAACAGAGTCGTAATTAAAAAAAAAAAGATATGAATATGAAACACTACCTGTGACAGAAAGGTAAATGTAGCGGTGATCACGCTCACGTTCCTGTCTGGCCAGGCACAAAAACCAACCAGAGTCTGCTTCAGTTAGAGGCCCCACCAACAAGGAACCACTGGGCTGATGGTGATGTCTGAGGAAAACATTTAATACATGGATGAAGTCACAAAGACACACAGGTAAATAAGCACTGACTGTAGTGGGTCATTATTACACACCTGTGAGTGGACAGAGGGACTCCGTCTCTCCTCCACTCTACAATGACAGTAGAGGACGGCGGGGGACTGACTCTGCAAGGCAGCACCACTGTCTGTCCCACCAAGGCCTCCACCGTGGATGGGTCTGTTTTGTCAATGGTCACCTGACCCAGGGTCAGACTGGGGGAAAAGGAAAAGGAGGAACAAGGAAGAGAGGACAGGGAAAAAGAAAAGAAGACAGAAATAGAAAAAAGGAGGAAAATAAAGTAAAGGGGAAAAAAAAGAACAGAGTAAGAGAAAGATTTAAGGAAGGAATAGAGTAAAAAAAAAAAGTCACTTTATGCTCTACTGTTGGTACCAAAGCAGACATAAAGAGTGCCCACAACCTGGCTGCACAAGTTTGTCAGTGAAAACTTGGGACAGAAATGACAGACAAAAGCTTTTACACGTGCAAGGTGACTGAAGGGACAAAGACAAAATGAGAAACAAGACAAGTGTCTCCAAAAACAAATATGACAAAAAGTTTGTTCCCGGGTGAGGAATGAACCAAAAAAAGGAAAGAGAAACCGTAGACTGTGCCCACACACATGAAAATGACAGTTTAGTGACAACACAGACAGAAGACAACCAAATAGAGCATCACAGCAAAACCTTTATTAGTTATATTTCACCAACAGACAGGGCGAGGTAGAACCAGGACACAACAAGACACGACAAAAGCACACGAAATGATGAACATGAAAGCAGCACAGACAGTCAACAGTCCCAGAAGAAAAAGGTCGCTGTGAGGTTATCAACGTCTTCAGACATTTTGTCAAGGATGAAGAAGAAAAACATTGTGTTGCTACTGAAGTAGACGTGACAGTGAGTTTTACCATCACCAGTGATGGTGCTTTTACACAAAGATCCTGATGCATTACACAAAGCATAGCAAGTACAAACAAACCAATGAACATGTGATAATATAGGAGGAAAATATGTGGGAAACTTTGCATCAGTCATTTCAACATAACTGTGGTGTTGATACAGTTTCTGACAGTTCTGGGAGCAAACATTTCCAAACATTAGGACCCAACCCAAATGTGTGTCACAAAGTACTTCCTAATTTTTTAATTGTTATTTTTTCTCATATTTTGACCAGACCAAAATTACACAAGTGGACCTTTGAAGGACCTGAATAACTCTAGGACATCGCCAAAGGAGGGGAACAGAACAAAAAGGAACCACATTTACAGATGAACAAAGCACTTCATTTGATCATTAACATTAAACGTTGTGGCACTAAGCAGGCAGGGAATACTTTGCAATAATAGCGTGAAACTTAGCAGTGTGGCTGAACAATGCACATGGCACAAAGATTTTAGAAATCTCAAGCATTTTTCCTATTTTTAAACCAGAAAAACTGGTGCTCTTTTAGTGGGGAGGGTAGGCTGTGAAGAGCAGAAAAGGAGCTGGTACTGATCTCCAGGGTCTTACCTGGCAGCTGGGCCGCTGTGCTGAGCAGCAGTGCCACGTGAAGGATGGCGTGCCCGCAGGTAGAATCTGCCTCTGTGAGCATTTGTGGCAGCGCTTGTGGCCTGTCTGCTGGCTGAACCTCCACGGACTGTAAAAATCCTGGACATGGAGGAGGAAGAGGAGGAGGTGGATCCTCCTGCTCTAGATGAACTGCCAGCACTGGATAAGGTTCTTCCGGGGTTTGATTCTTCTCTAGCATGAAGTGCAGGGCCCTGTGCCGGCTGGCTCACAGAAGGCTCCGGACAGGCTCTCAGGCATTCTGCTCGGGTCATGAAGTTGTTGTTATTGCCGTGGCAACCTCCATACCAGAAGTGCACACACTTGGAGGTGATGACGTTGAAGTGGTAGCGTGAAACCCAGCTGCTGCAGGAACCGGCAGCGCGAGGCAAGGAGCAGATGTTGCGCTCAACTAAAGCAAAGAAAAACAATTTTCTAATGTCAGTTTCATTTGCAGATTTTTGTTTGTGAATCAAGCAGATAGTGGTATCCTTAGCACACACCATATTCCAGGTGGTTAGCATATGTCTAAATCATTGCTAAAGCAAAGAGAAACCCCTGACCCCACCTCTCAGCAGGTGTGCTTCAGCCCACTGTCCACCTGAACGGCATATTGATCAACAATCAAATCATGTCCTTACTGTGGTTTGGTGGATCAGGGCAACCTTCTCCATTGGGTCCTGCTGCAATAGAGACGCGGTCGAAACAGCATCCGTAAGTGGTGGTTCTGCACTGGACTGCATTCTCAGTAGGGAGAGGAGCACTCTGGAGGATAATGGGGAAAAAAAAAAACACAGTAAAATATTTTCAAATGTCTATGTCTTATTCTTGAAACAGTGGTTTGGGTAAAAAAAGTTATTTTACTCACAGTTGGTGCAGGAGCCACAAACTCCACACATCCCTCCTTGTTGGGGCCTTGAGCGACAGTTACTCCATCGTGGCAGCAGCCATGACTGTGAAGAGGGAAACGTTGTGCCACTTATTTTCATTTCACATTTGTAAGGAATCTAAAGTTAATGTCAGTGGTTCGGTGGTAATTGTCGTCAATGCGGTGATGAATGACACCCTGTTCTGTTCAGTGGACCCTGCACTTTGTTAGTTTACATTTAACCCACACTTTTCTCAACATGGCTCAACATTTATGCTTCACATAACCATAGTGTTGGCATGCCTGGTGTTTGTCCACAGACAGTTTTGTGTGGTATGATGGCAGAACAGTGTGTGTCAAAAAAGGATCTATACCATAAGAATTACGTGACCAGAGTTCACCCAACCACAGTTTAATGACAGGTTCTCACCTGGTCTGGACACAGGATGGCTGAGCAGGAGTGGGAGCTGGGGCCAGTGGACAGCCCACACTGTGGGGGCCTCCTGCTGATGTGTGTCCGTCTGGGCAGCAGCCATAATAAGACTGACTGCAGTGGGGAGCAGGGGCCGAGCTGTGAGGGTCCAAGACTGTGTTCGTCTGGTTCACATCCGTCTCTGGTCTGTGGGCTGAGAGTGGACGGCCAGAGACCAAGTTAGAACGTTTCATGATCGAACTATGGCGTTCATGTGTTTTACATTTAAACTGTAGACTTTTGAGCTTTAGCCTTAATGCAAAATAAATACTATTTTAGTTCAGAAATGCAAGAATGCCAACATGAAATTCTGGCCCACTGGGACAAAAGAGTGAACTGGAACAGAAACGGCAGAACCAGAGGGAGCACGCTTCAGTGCCTCTGAAATATTTTAATGACCAACACTGTCCAGTGTCCCCACAAACATGTCACAGAGGTCGGGACAATTAGTGCTGGGACATGGGTCAAAAGGAGGAGAGCTGTTGTCTAACAAACAGTTAAAAATCAAAAAAGTGTGAAGAAAAACCTCCAACCTACTTATATTAAATGCTGTGCCTCCTGAAATCTTAACACTGGACTTAATACAGTGAATCTTTTAGATGTTACTGTAATAAAGGGCTTTAATATATTATCAGTAAAAGATTTAACACAATTCTTTAACTTGATTGCTAACCAGTAAACATCACAGATGGACAATGACCTGTAGCCTGATCAGGAACATAGGGCTGGAAGCCAGTCTGTGTGACATCATGTCCTCGGGGGTCCTGAATGCTTGGAACGACTGCACAAACAAACAAACACAAACCCACATTAGGGCGGTTTCTGAGGGACAGCTCTCTATCAGTGCACACTGCAACGCTGGCTGAAAACACGTGTTGTCATAAACATAAAACAATAAGACAACCTGGTTTTGTACAACAAAATAAAAGCACGGAAAAGTCAAAGTAGCAAGTGTAAAAAAATCGAATTAATTAAGCACGTATTTATCATCAAAAACTGAACCATCCATGGATGTGAGAGACTGTTCGTACACACTCACCCTGCGGTCTGTAGCAGGGCTGTGTGTTGCAGCGCTCCACTGTAGGGGGTTTAGGGATGGTCTTACACTTGATCACAGGATACAGGTTCATCTCTGTGTCTGAGCAGATCACCTGACGTTCTCGAGAACCAGAACCACAGCTCCTGGAGCACTGAAGAGAAAACATGAATCATTATTATCTTTATTCAATGTTAATGTCAGGACACAAATAGTGACACAGGATTTCACTGTCCATTAAACAAATTCAAATGAAAGAGTTTTTGCCCTCACCAGACCCCACTCTCCAACGTGCCATCTGATCTCTTTGGGGCAGGGAGCCGTCTCACAGGGTTGCACTGCAGAAGGTCGGGGCAATAAGCTGCAGAACGACTCCTCCAACGCTGTCCCATCTGAACCCACGCAGGTCACTTCTCTGGTCTGTTCACCTGAACCACAGGTCACTGAGCACTGCAGACAAACACAGAAGCAGAGAGACCACAGTGAACAAACCAAATCCTTGTTGTATTACAGTACATTATCTGACAAAGAACTCATGAAAAAAAAGACACATGATTTACTTACTGCGCTCCAACTGGTCACGTGATACTCGGCACATTTTTGCATATTGCAGGTCTGCAGTGATGTAGGTGCCTCGGCATAAGCAGCACAAACAGCATCTTCTACCACACGGGTTCCTGAAGCATCATGGGAGATACACTGAACACTACGAATCTGGGAGCCTCCACCACAGGTAACTGAGCAGGTGTTCCACTCTCCAGTTCTCCAACTGGAAAAAAAAGACAGAAAGACAGAGAACTTAATTCTTTAGTTCCAACAACTGTGGGCCAAGAACACAAATTAAGAATTACATTTTAAATTCTGTGTCTTGAAAAAAAGCAATATAAATATATATTTTTTAAAAGATTTAAATAATAAATACATCTGGGTTATTGGCATTGCGTTTGGTTTCACTTAAGGTTTAATTTTAGGCTTTAAGGTATTTCCCTTTTCTGGTTGGTTGCATTAAATACGAGAAGCCATAATTACTGTAAAATGTCTCAAAATAACTTCTATTCACATCCAGCCAGCATCTATTTTTGGTCCTCCTTAACTTTTAATTGAGAGATAATGAAGGAGTATGCATGTAGCAGAATCAAAGAAAAGAAGCAGGAAATACCAGAAAGTCAATGAAGCCCGGGCTCAGGAAATACCAGAAAGTCAATGAAGCCATTGACGATTAACAGCGATTAACCAACACCATTTAGGAAGTCCCAAAACACTTCTGACCTGTAACTTACAAACCAACACCATCTGGAAACTCAGCTGCAATAACTGACAGAGTTTAAGAGTTGGCTAAATAAATCAGTCCAGCTCAAGGATCAGGTACAGGATCGGAAGTTTGGAATATAATACTAATATTGCATTAAACCACTGTTTGGTTTCCTGTCGCGTCAAAGAGAAGTGAGCTCCACTAACGACAGTCAAACTTCTAGAGTTTCAGCTGCTAAGACCTTTTAAAAATACATCTCTTATCAATGTCAGTACTGCACAGTACCTGTGTGTTTCCGGGCATTGTTGGGGATTGCATGTACGGTTAGACTGTGGTCTCGGCAGAGACGCACAGAGATAGTCGGGAAAAGCTTCATTATCAATTGTGCAGAAGACAGAGCGGGACTGGTAGCCTAATGAAGGAGGAACATTTAGAACATTGGTTATAATATCCTCAAACAAATGAAAGAAATGTCCCGGTTCTTCAAACCTGATCCACACTCTTTGCTGCAGGCTGACCAGGAACCAAAACTCCAGTAGTATCCTTCCCTGGAGCGTCCATTAGGAAGATAATACTCATACTCCACTCCTGGGTTTGGCTCTTGGCTGATCAGCTGATGGAAGAGGGATGTAGACAGCGAAGTTAAAATGACTGACTCTTCATGGGTCGAAGGTTAAAATGACTGACTCTTCATGGGTCGTAATGATGAAGAAGAAGAAGAAGAAAAAACTACAACACTGTGTGCTGATTATAAAACATATCTGTTACAGACAGGGTCAATTTCTGATCCCGTCTGAGTTGTTTTTACCTCGACGACCAGAGGTTCAGTGGTGGGACCACGGCCGATAATTGTCTCAGGCACGTTTTCTCCCTCAGCGCCTCTCTGGTAGTACAGCATGGTACCTGCGATGGTTGTTGCCCTGGAAAACTCAATTACCCAGTGTCCATTGAGGTAATACTCCCCACGTAGGTTCTTGATAGCTGTTCACACAGGGATGTTGAACACGAATGTGGTGAAAATTACCAGTACAAAGTAAACAATTGTTTAACAACAGGGTCTGTCATACCCAGGTAGTTGCGTGTGGCCACCGTCTCTTTAATGCTGATGGTTGTGGCCCCCACAGGGATGATAAACATCTGGTTGTAGCCTGAGGCAAACATGAGATAGAAATTACTCAAAGATGACAAACACCCCTGTACCACAGAGGGAGAATGAGTCAAAATCTCCTACTGGAAATCTATAGTACCTGTCGGCAGGTTGCCTACAGTAAAGCTGTTCTTGACCTGGTAGCAGGACTGTCCATTACCCCCACACTGAAGGCAGGGGTCTTCTTGTTGAGTCGAGTCTAACTTGTTGTCACAACCAAGACGCTTAAGAAGAAAAAGTTGTAGAGATGTGAATCTGTATTCTTGATTACGTCCTTTCACTAAAACTAAGCACTGGCAGCAGATCATCTCAGAAACATACTCAATATACAAACATGAAATTGAATACCATCATGACTGTCCATAATCCTTTTAAAAATGTATTTCTTTGTCAGTTTTTTTTTGTTTTGTCTGACAGAGACTATACACTGACAGGGAAAACACTGGGGATCACAAACGGCCATGATCGAAATAAAGCAGAATATCCCTAACCCTAACCCCATCAGTGTCGTGACACTTAAGGACGTTTATTTATTTATTTAACGTACAGTAACATTAACAAGGTGACACATTGTGTACATTTGTTTTAGGTCTGAAGCAGTAGCAGCAATGATTCATATTCTGTACTGCATATTTAATGTCCATATCCTGCTCTACATCACCAACAAAGTTCAATTGTTTTTCTGTAATGACCAGGTTCTTTATGTACACACATACCTGGCATGTATTGTGTTCTAATATGGAAAAAAAATAATTATGAAAATTAACAATACTCTTTTCCAATTGTTTACCTTGCAGACTCCGTCAACACAAATATCCTTCCGTCCGGGGTGACAGGGTGTACCATCAACCACAGCACTGCGGTGGCGGTAGTAAAAGTTTTCTCCTCTTGGCATGCAGTTGAGCTCACAGGGATTCTCAGCTTTAAGTCACATAAAGCATTTCATTTTATTTCAGATGACAATGTAAGGCAGCAATTAATATGAAATGTCTTTTCAATGGATCATCTTAAACTATCTGCTCAACTAATCCTCTGACCTCCAAAGTAAGGGAGCCACTTGTAGCGTTTCCCCTGAAAGTCTGTGCCATCAAAGTGGGAGCACTGCTCCTCACGGAAATCCTTGGATCCCTCTGGGCACTCCTGAAAAGACCAGTGAAACAACATCAAAGATTACGATATATTGCCCCACAAATTATTGACGATACACATTAATTTCAACATTATTTTGAGACCAAATTAACATATAATAATGCACACACTTTCAAATGCAATTAACCTTTATGAGTATTAATTATCATGTCTATCAAAGGTTAATGGTCAGTTTAGCAGAATTTAATAATTTAGGTAGTTGTGAATCACTGGTGGAAAATTATTTCAATGCAAAGTCTAACCTGGGCGTTGCAGAAGCGGTAGGACTTATCTGGCCCAACACAGTTGTGTCCTCCATCAGTTCTGTGTGAAGACATTTGAAGTGAGAACATGGCACACGTACTGTACAGTTTATGGTTTATCCGTACCAATACTAATTTAACCACCACTGACTTCCAATCTTGTCCTATAAAACTGTGACTTCTTGACTTCTAAGACGCATGAATCCAACCTTTACACCTGTGTACACACAGTAACCTTGGAAAACAGCTGACTATTTTGTCACGCTCTTCAAGCCAAACTGATAAGCCATGATAACGTTTGCATCCAAAAGTACCTGCCCTCCAGCCTCAACATAAGACATGTTCCCATCGCTGGGCCAAAACCGAGACCTGAACATGTCCAAACTATCGTGCACAACATCCAGCCCTGAACTTTTCACCCCTTGACATACTGTAACACAAACACCTGGAGATTCAGCAGTGACTTTCTAACAAAGGTTAAACACGGTTATTTAACTGATTTAAAGATGATGATAAACTATAACTGATATAAATGACAACCTGTATTAACAGAATGGGTTGGGTTGTTTGAAAACATGACTCATTTGACTGACTGTTGGTTAAGAGTTATGGTAAAAAAGTGCAGAATGATTCAGTCGCTCAAATTATATCAAGTAAAGGTGTAATTCACCGAAGCCAGGTAAGGAAGAAGGCAGGGCTTCTCATAAATGATTCAGACAATGAGGGTGAACAAGACACATCATCAGACTGACTCACTGACAGCTGCGGACATGCATGAGTGTTCAAAGTGTTCAGCGGAAAAACAAAATTGTGTTTTTACATCAACCCCTAAAAAATATCTAATGACATGAAGCAACTGTTTGAACATGTTGTAGAAACAATTTATGAACATGTTCGGTCTGGTGATCCAAACTAATTAAAGAGAAAAAAAACAACTCTTAATTAAAGGGACATTCTGTTGTACATGTAAAAATGTATCTCCCACTTCTTTTTATTCTTCTATTTCTATTGCAAATAGAGTATTTTTTTTAAATCAGGTTAGTTAATTTTTCAATTAACAACTTTAAACATTGAAAAATGGAAATTAATGATTCTAAAACCTAACAAATTAAGTTCTCAATTATCCTGGAATTATACAAAAAACTAAATGAACTAGAGGTTTGAATTCATTAATGCTAACTTTAGACAATCTTGTTTATTTACACTTAAAAAAAATAAGAATATTTAATACTATAGCAGCAGTAGTAGTACATGAAATTACCTCTACAGATTACTGAAACATAAACATGTAGTTATCTGACATGACTCATCAAAACTACAGACCACTTAATACGATGAACACCGACTGGAGCAGCAACTCCTTAAATTTATATGTACTGGACCATTAGTACTGAACATGGTTTTACTTTTTTTTTTAAAAAAAAACACCCTTGCCCAAAGATTACAGATAGAAATGCTGCCTTCTCATCTGATCTTGTTTCACAGCCAACAGGCAAAACCCAGTAAAGAGAAGCCTTTTAAAAGGCCCCTCCCATCAGTGTGTTTTGGATGGAGGACAAGACCACGTCCTGTGACTTCAAGGCATTCTTTACCATTAAGATCTACTCTACACCCTCCACAAGCAGTTTTATTTAGACATGTGCGTGTGTGTTCCCAGCCTGAAACAGAGTGACTGGCTTTCAGATGAGGTGCAGACTTTGTGTGCTCTTAACGTGGACTAGCTCAGGTTATAGGAACTGCAGGATGTCTTACCTGTGAGTAATACAGCGTCTTGTCCTCATGGCCACACCACTACCACAGCTACGACTGCATTCTCCATATTGACCCCACACATCCCAGTGATCAATGCTAGGCACCTACAGAATAAACCAGCAACATTTTTAATAATACATATAATATATTTTTTATATATCAAGTGACTTGAGTAAGAGAAAAAAAATCATGTGAAATTTGATACTTGATAATAAAAATGCAGGAAACTGGAAATGTAGCAAAAAAAATACCAAGCTTGATGGACGACTTCCCAGAAAATATTTACCATTTTATTAATGATTATTAATTTCAGTTTACCATGAGTGCCGGAGCCAAGAGCAGCTGAAGGATTAGCAGAGGCAGGAGCATCTTCATGGTTTCCTGGAAAAAGGACAAAGACACTCAGAGTCTAGTCACTGTGACTAATCCATATTTGTACAGATTGAGCAACTTTTCCAGCAGCAAGGTGGGACGATAAAAACTGAGACAATATTGCAAGGCCTACGCTACGCCAACATATACAAAAAGATGAATGTGTACACAGGGAGGAAACAACTTGAAAATGAACCTAATATTTGGTTGAGAGGCTGTAAACATCTGCCACTGTTCACCAACACACATTTATAAACACATAAATCAATGCCTCATGGCTAATAGTAAATCTTTGATCCCTTATCAGGCTCAACATACACAAGGAGGAGGAGAGCATTTACTTTGTGGTTTGGTTTTGAGCCACTAACCACAGCTGATGATCGTCATCTGCTTCTGTGAATCACAGCGTGCAGTTACGAAGCACCTTCTCTTTTGGAGTGACTTTATATGCAAGAGAAACATTATTGCAAGAAAAGGATAAAAAATAAAGATGAAAATATATTTTTCACTTTTCAATGTAACTTTTTTTACAGTCAGACTTTAGTTGTTTAGAACTTATTTGCTTAAGCAACAAACAGTGTGTTGTTGGCTGCTTATAGAGAACTGTTTGTTTGGTTTCTTTGGAGCGGTTCCTGAAGTAAAGTAGATTGAGGGAGTCAAACTGTGTCTGACCTGTTGGCTCCGCCCACAGAACACAGGCAATCACCCCCAGGCATTGTCACAGTATAGAGACCAGGAGGAAGACATGTCTGATCATCTCTTTTAAACACAAACACACTTGACACTAAAAGCCCCAAAGAATCAGTGGTGTAATTGCCCCTGGGTAGAAGTACTGTTGGAAATCTGAGACTGCTTTTCTCACTGGCAACAGCAGTCAAAAGGAGTCCAGCAGTTTATCACTAAGGCAGTTTTATATATAGATTTTATTGTAACACATGTCAACATCAATGTGTGTAATACCAACAAAAAATATGAATCAAACCAAAAGTAGATGAAAAGCCCCACCCCCCAAATGACACGTACTAGATCAGTTTACAAACTTTAAAAGACAATCTTGTGAAGGTTTAATCTTGATTTTGACAGTTACCAAATAATCTGTTTTGTAACTCCAAAGATTTTCTGCATCATTTCCTTGTTATCGTAATAGCCTGTAGCCAGGGGCTGTATAATGGTTTCATCCAGCCAAAATTAACAATTACTCATCACTCAGTGAGAGCATGTAGTGTCTTGTGTCCTGTATGTGAAGTATGACTGCAGCCTCCACAAAAACAATCAAAGGAATTAAAAAAACACACCTATAATTTCAAAACACAATGATGTGTTTGCAATTTCTCTTCAACACCTAATATAGGCTGTTAAAATAATTAATAACACTGTCAGTTTCAATGTTTTAAGTCGGAATTGTCAGCGGTTTAACCTTAATTTTCAGAATCCAATAACAATTGTATTTGTAAACTGGTGGCACGATAGATAATGTAACAGTGTATAGCTATAGTCCAACACTGTTAGATTGTGATCTTTCAAAAATACTGATAAGGGTATGATTAAAACAGACAAATCTGTGAATTTTGCAGTCTATTTGTCTTAAATTAATGACACTGTTAATGTTAGCTGTTTAACAGTGATCAATGACTGGAAACGTGCCAGTGCATGTCATGATACATAGATCTAAATACAGTAATGTACAGATTGATTATGGATGAAAAGTTTTAGGGATAGTATTTGTTAATCTCAATGTATCTGGTATCACCAAATATTTATGCAAAAGTCAATGGCAAAGCAAGTACAGCAGAAGTAAAATCTACTAATTTTGACTAACTTGAAATTACTATTAAATGAGACCTTCTGTCACTATGTATGCAGATGATTCCTCCATCTAACTATCAATTGCTGTCCTGAAAATAAACATTCATCACCTCACCTTCTATAGACGCTGTATGTGCTCCTGGAGGATCAACCCGCTGATGGATCTGAATGATCCTGAAGAGTAGTCTGATATCTTTCTGGGTCGCTTTTTCACTTCTTAACGTTGCGTCTCTGAACACTTGCAGCAGCGTCCCGGTTATACAGTATGTATGAGAGGAAGTTTGGCTGGTCCTCTTCGTCTCTCTGCCCCCTCCTCTCTCTCTCTCTCTCTCTCTCTCTGCTGTCCAACAGGAAACTCACAGGGACAGGAGTGAAAGTTCTGCTCCTTAAAAAGTCCTTCGCGCCGAGATTCACTCACCGCCGGGCTTTTTAAGCAGGTCGCCTCCTGCCTCCTGACACATACACACACATTGATTCATGCTGCGTTTATAACCGTACCATGTAATTTCACACTGTAAAAATAACAGACAGTTATTCGGCGTGTTCGTCTGGTGTTTAAGTCCACAGTAGCAGCTCTCACATGAGGGTCCTGTGAGATTTAGCCTCGCAGTCGTGGTTAAAAACCAAACACTCCATTATCATGTTCAGCCACAGTATATACGGTAATTCTAGGGTAATGTAAAGACTGGATTAGAGTATTTAACTGTAAATGGTTCCCAAATGTTACTAAACTACACAATATTAACACTGAATGCACGTTGATTAATAATTCCTAGATATGTTTAACTCATTTTTACTGATGCGTATGCTAAAAAAAGTCGTATGTTAAAAAAGCACGTCGACTTTTTTTTAGCGTTTTTTAGCCAAAAGCTAATATATCTCATAAAATGACATTTAAACTGAAAACAAATAGACCTAAATAAAAAATATAACAATATAATAATATAGTTTTAAATGTTTAAAGGTGACCTGTGAAGTGACTTCCCTTCACCTTCCAGAAAATTCTTCACCACCGCCATGTTGGATTTAAACAACGTCAAGCACCTGCAGCTACGCTGAATTTAATCCTTGCTATGAGAGACAATTAAATCCAGCTAAATGTTATATAATGACACGTTTTATATTATAAAAACATATATTGATGATTTATGGATATTAAATCTTTAAATGAATGTTACAATTTTTTTTTTTTTGTAGCAGCCATGATAGATTGCTTAACATTTAACTATAAGTTGTTTTATTTCTTTACCTTGGCTGCAACCTGCACTACAAGGTAGTGGTAACATACCAAATATATAAATACAACTTTTTGTAAAGACAAAATAATAAGCAATAAAATGCAAACTGAACTTTAATTAGGGCTCCAATTGGAAATATATATATATTGGAAAGTGTATGTTTGTTGTTGGCTCTAGAGAAAAGAGATGACACTATTACCATAGTGGTTATGATCTTGTGTCTGAGTGTGTTTTGGAGCTGTGAAAAGTTAAAAAAAGGCAAAAGCCAAATATAAACAGCTTTAGCAGTTGATCTTTAATTTTCTCTGCTCACTAATTAAAAAGTTTGTTGTCATTTCAAATACTTTTAGAAGGATCTGACTCTTTAATTCCTATATCATGTTTGTGTTAAAATTACATGAAATTAACAGACATAGGTGATTATTTGGGGTTTTTTAGGAGGAAACCACCACCACTGCCACAACCAAAGCTAATTTTAAATGTCATATATGTATCCTGGAAAAAAAAATTCATTGCATCCTTTGCTTTTTTCTCTTCTCGTTTGAGGGTTAGGTTTTCCAAAACATCCCAAAGGCCTCTAAAAACAAGCGGCCCAAGCTAGAGGAAAATTATGCTGAGTGATTGTGGGTTAGTGTAAAAATACATCATGGCTGTAATGTGTACTTTTAAACTTTCAACTGCTTTTATTTTGATTTTTTTCCCCTTTTCTCATTCATCTAGGGTGTGTGCAAACAACCAGAGTCATGGTGGGCCCAAGACTTTTTAAACATGCAAATCACCATAAAAACCGAAACTATTTTTACAGCATGTATGCCACAGAAAGCCATTGAAGCCACATGTTTGTGTATGTGGTTAGGAAGGAGGATCTTTTTACACGTTCAGGTTAAAATGAAAGGCTCACTGGTCTGACTTCGAACCTTTAAAACCACAGATGACCATCGGTAGACCTCACAGTGTCACAATGGCAGCAACACCATTTGGTGACTATTAAACCAATAATAGAAAAAAAGTATACATTTATTTAAAGTCTACTTAAAAACAAAATAATTTGGTAAATATAAAAAAACTGTTGTCAGAAGTAGAATTGTAAAGTAGCTATAAGAACACTCCTGTCATGTGACCAAACAAATTAAATGATGCAGAGTCAGAAAAAAGGATAAACAACATGTATATGGATTTATTTAGAAACAATTAAAGATGTTTAACATTTAGGCCTAATAATCCAGGTTCAACCCAAACATGTCCAAGAACATGAGGTGGTGACTGGTGGTGTGCAAAATGTGAATTATGGGGAATTGCCAAGAACTGTGCAAATTCTGTTAATTTCTTATTTCTTGGAGCCTCATCAACTTAATTCTTCCATAACTGTCATTCTAAGGATGCATATTAATACATTTTATTCCACCAGTCACCAATGTGCAAATGATTACTGCATAGAGCAATCATTTGAACAATTCAAAGTCCAGCACAGATCTGTGTAATTTGTGTCTTCTGAAAAGAGAGCGAACTCCACTCAGAGACTCAAACCAGGATTCAGGCCCTAAACCACAGAAGGTTCCTTGACCTTGGCCTATTTTGAGAACTTTCAAAGTGTTGAAGGAACATGAATACCCAAGTATTTGGGCTGAATGAGAAAACTAAAAATAATTCCAAGCGTCAGCTAATAAAATCTTTACAGGGCCGACAGAACAGCTTTCCAGGAACACTGCTCTTTTAATTACAGACAGCTCGTGAGCACAACATCATATGCATCAATCTGTGGCTTTGAGAAAGCATTCGTTTTTGTTGTTGTTTGTTAGTTTTTACCAGATTCCACTTGACATGCTGTCTGAGAGCAGGTTGGATTTCTGACATGCTGTCTGAGAGCAGGTTGGATTAAGTCATTAAGCTCATTAGCTCATTAAGTCTGTTCATGGATTTGAAGGGAGGCCTAAGCCACAGGATTTACTGTAAGCTAACATTCAAATTACTAAACTTTACATCTAACCTTCTCCTCTTCAAATGTACACATGTGGAGACAAAAACACTGCCTGTAGATGTTAAAGAAAATTGCCCTTCTTTAGCCTTTGGTTTCATGCCAACAGGCCATTTTCCCTCCTGGGCCTTCAGAGCTGGCGGCTGAGCTTCCTCGCCTGCCTCTCCTTTGCATTGAAGGCGTACTTAGTGTCCTGGAGCTGTTCTATAATCTCCTTGGCCTCCTTCATCTCCACAGCGAGCTGGTCGTACTTCTCCACCAGCTCTTGGTTCTCTCTACGGAGCTCCAACACCAGCTGGCCCAGCTCCTCGCTCTGCTTGCCACAGTGGAGCTTCAGCTGCTCCATTTCAGACAGCGTCTCCTCCATGCGCTTCACCAAACACTCCAGCTGTTCCTTGGACATCTTTGAAACCTGTGTCCTTTTCCTCTTCACAGAGCTCTTGTTCTTTATCTTTCAGTTTCTCATGTGTTGTTCAGTGTCAGGGCTTGTTTCCAGTCTGGAGTGATTAGAGTCTAATCCCAGGTTTCTTACATGTCTCACACGGAGCGGCCTCCCTCTCCACTCACTAATCCAGTTAACACAGCTATCCTGAGAAACCACGTTTGCACATACGTGTGACACACTGAGTCTCTGTGTCTCCTTCCTAAATCCACTCTTTACAGACGATGACAGTGATTGGCAGGGCATCTCTGTTCTTTGTGCAGCCTCATCCATCTGTCACAAAATTAGCTTAAAAGTCTAGACATGAAACATTCTTCAACGTCATTATGGTGAGATACATTTCTCACCATGATGATATTGAATATTAATTATAAAAGAAGTTAAACATTAGTTAATGGGGAGATTATTTTACTGTATCTTCCCACATCGTCCTTGACATTAAACAACCTATTTTAACTGAAACTTGGAAAATCCAAGTTTCCATTACATGGAAACACTGAGTTTACATCATAGCGTCACAGCACACAATGCTGCCACAATATTGTACTTTGTGATATAATTATTTTATATAATTCTTCTAGACACAACACTGTAACAAACAAACCAAAACAGGCATCAGTAAACCAACAGCCATTGTTTCAAAATTGATGACTTTTTTTTCTGGTTCTTCTTCATAAACAGACAGTGTGCTAGCACCTCCCACAAAGACGTCATTAAAAAAAACAAGGTATCACTTTTGATATTGATGGTTTAACTTTGTCTGGCACTGGAACTGTGTGTTTTAAGAGTCCAGTGTCACATAATCTGGACTGAGCAGGTGTCTGGACTCAAGTGCAAGACAGGCTTTGTGGAGTTAAATCTGTTGTTGTTCACCAGCTGAGCTACAGGACACACCGCCAAAATGAGGATTTTGAAATGAGTCAGTCAGAGCAGCCTCAGCATGAGACTAAACATTCTGGGTAAACTGTGCCACTGTCCTGACCAACATGGAAAAACAGTCTTCTTGGTGACAAATAACATCTGCTGGGGTCTTGATAAACCTTCTTTGTGGCTGTTAATTAGTGGACAATTTCCACCTCCTCATGTCGGCTCTTGGGGCTCTGGACTTTTATTTTTTTCTGGACTTGTTCCCTTTTCTTCTTTCCTGGCAGCTTGAATTCTTTCCCCTCTGTCACTTGTAGGGAGAACCTTCACCAGGGAAACTAATTTCGTTCATCCCATGTCTAACGTGTTGTAATGACAATAAAGAACCTTGAGCTCCAACTCTGTCCACTATCCACTACATCTCCTCAGCACAGATCTAACACTTCTCAAGTAGAACATGATCAGAAAACTTCAGCTACTTCTTGGACTGTACAACAGTTTATCAGGAACATCAGTGGCTGTTTAAACCTTCAGTACAGCATGCAGTGGCCTCGGTTTAATGCCATCTGACAATGTGCTTAATTTAAGGATGAGATAAAACCAGATTGTAATTGGACTCCACAGAAGAATTCTAAGGTAGAAACACAACCACGCTAAAGACTAAGTCTACTTTCAGTATGTTTATTTAAAAAAAAAAAAGAACAAAACCAAAATTGAATAACCTTGCATAACACATGTGAAGACAGGGGAGAAAGTCAGTCACACAACATACTTTGTTTTCCCAAAACAAGGGAAAACTGTCCTCGAACAATTCTATAATATTGTTCCTGTTGGTTTCGCTCTTTTCTGGGAATATGCGTAAAAATCGAGTGCAACGTTTGAAGAGCCACCAGTGAAGCTCATCAGAAGTTTCTCAGGTATAAGAAGCTGCTGAGTTTAGGTTCAGCTACATTCACATCTCAGAAGTGGTGTGGTGTTTAAACTGGACTGAAGTAGATAAGTGGAAATGGTAATGTTCTTGACTGGAGACAATTGTCCACACACTTCAAGTACAAATTTAACTACATCCACTGTTCACTCATTTAGCAGGACCTGTTCTTTTTCAACATTCAACAATTTGCAGTCACATAAACATAGATCTTAGTAATGCCTTAAAAACTGCAAACATGTCTGCCATGTTTGAAAAAAAGAAAAACAAAAAAAAAAAGGTACAAAATATCATGTCTGCATATCTTGGAAAAACCCTCCAGAGTCTGCGTGTAAAGAGGAAACGGTGTCAGCGTCTAAAGTGAAGCATAGTTTAAGACAGCACCAGGCGAGCGTCATGATGGCGGCTGTTGCCTAAAGGTTGAGAGTTTGAGACCAATCACAGGTTACATTCCCTGGTAAGACAACATCAGTCTAGGTGGAAAACAAAATGCAAGTTTCTGTCTCACAATAACAACAACAACAACTACTAGTAGTATTAAAGTGATGCCCTTGTGCAAGGCACGGAAACCTCCTGCTTCTTCAGCAGAACTGCTGAGTGGCTGACAGCGTAGTATTAAGAGCCGGCTCTTGCTTGCCATGTCTGCAACATCAATTTTGTGATCTGCCTCTTCCTGGCAGTTCAACCTGGATCTTTTCCTAAAAGTGAAGATGGAGCCCAGCATTGTAATTCAATGCAGACTGTAAGAACAGACTACACTGGTTTAATGAGGCAAATAAATTGTAGTCTCCAGACTTTTGGTTGCATGAATGGTTTTGGTCAAAGACGACAATGACAACAAAGAACAAATGGACAAATGCTCTTCACTGGCACCAGTGCACTGCACGTACCATGTTTTTTCAAATTCACTTTAAGCTGAATGCTTAGCTGCTGATTTCGTTCACCTTCACTTTCGTTCAGATGACTCAAGCGCACTGCTGCTCTCACCAAATCTTTTTCTTCTGTAAAGCTAGAGACACACTACACTGACTCAAGGACAGCACTGTTATCAACATGTAGTCACTCCTGCTCCTGATCTGTCTGCAATAATTGTTCCGATTCTATTTCCTTATTTCTGTCTGCTACATTCCTTTTTCTATTGGCTGATGGCAACACAGGTTTTCCAGTCGGAAATCAGTTCATGTGACCTGATCATGGTAAGGAGTTTTGTGCCAATGCAATTGGGACTGACCCCAACTGGTGCAGAATTTAACCTGGAAACTGGAAATGGAACGTAAAATAGGGGAACAAAATTCTCATAGTGTGTCCTCAGCTTTAGAGACAAAACAGACTTGAAGCTGGTCTGCAGAAGAAAAGTCAACTCCTCATTCAATAATAATTTTCTTTGAGAACTTTAAGATCTTAAACATCTGTTTCAAAGTCCTTAGCAGTGACATGATGTCACATTTTGCTGAACAGTTACAGGTAAACTGGTCAAAAAGGATCAAATTTTAGAGTCCTGTAATGCTTTGTCATCTGTTTTCCACTAAATGAGATTATGATCTGCAAAATGAACACTTTGTTCTGTTAAAGACAACCTTAAACTAGCAATCAACATCATAACAGTCACTAATTAAGTAAGAGAAGTCTTATTTTCTTAAGGATCTCTGCTAGTACTGTGTTCTTCCTGAAATAAAGGCAAGCAAGAATTCCTTTTAAACCACAATCAGCTCCATCTTCTCCACCTATAGAGGCAACAACATATTGCATAAAATCGCTTCCTCTGTTCTGGACAGTAAGCTCAATTCTACAGACACCAGACGCACCACCCAGGTCAAACATGGCAGGTATGCATGTGTATGACTTTTACTCCCCCTGCAGGTGAAGTGAATTCAGTTACATTTAGGTCAGAAAACACAATGGAATCAGTCACAAATTCTTGATTTACATTTTCCTCACATGAAATATGTGTTGAATCACACTGTCTCACATCAGAGCTTTGTTTGTTTGTCTCAACTATTCTTTACAGTGGTAAAAGAAAAGCACGTTATGACCAGGTAGTCAAACTACACAACCAGTCTATGACAACATTGCTGGCTGTCCACGACATTTACATTCTGTATTGACGTTCAGGGATGATGGCGGTCGACAACGTATGAAAACAGGTTTGATTTGTATGACTTTTTTCAAGTCTTTGCAGGGAGATTCAATCAATCCGTCCCCCCTCGCCCAACAGCTACCGCTGAGGTGTCCATGAGCAAGGCACCTGCTGTTAAGTGACTAAGACTGTAGTCATACAGATATTAAGGTGATGCAGGGTTTCTGTTGAAAAAGCTTCCCTGGATGAATTAAAGTAAAATATTATCTCTAACTTAAATGTTGCCTGAGACCAGTGATAGTAATTTGAAGATGAGGTCACAGGTGGAGCCAGGAATGTCACTTTTAGGTTAAAAAGAATAATTAAAGTTTGGAGGAACAGCTTTTGGTGCCTAAAAGAAAGGCAGAACAAAAACAACGTGTGTCTCATCAGCTTTTTAAGTTCTGAGTAGAGGATGCAGGACGTGATATGCCCCTGCATCATCCTTAGTTCCCCAGCTGTGAAGAATCTGCTCTGGGGTCCTCGGCCGTAGGGCCGTGAAAGTGAGGGTCATCAGAGCCAGCGTCCTGCTAAATGTAGAACTGGTGCAGCGCCAGCTTGTCCATGAAGGGCCGTACCAAGTTATCTGTGGCGAAGTAAAAGACCAGGCCGAAAAAGATGGAGATTGGAAGGGCGGGGAGAGCTTTTTTGAAGATGGCCAGGAGGAGGAGGGTGAGACACAGGCCCTGCAGAGACAGAGACAGAGACAGAATAAAAAAACAGGAACAAACACATGGAACCTCTGTGTACCAAACAAAATCAAGGGTTTCACATCACGTGGAGTCAGATGTGGTGCCAAAAGACAGGGATGAGGCTGTGGTGACGGAAGCCTGACACCAAAATAAGTAGCTGTGCTCACTCACAATGAGGATGGCCACAAAGCAGGCCAGTGTGGTGTTCCAGTCCCCGCTGGCGGCGGCCGAGGCCTTTCCCACCAACATGCTGTAGAAGATGAAGTCTCCCAGGCCCAGCTTGACGCCCCCTAACAACACAGGAGGACACTGCATTTAGGACAGGGTTAATTCAACCCTCCAACTCCTACAGAAACATCTCTACTCGACTGTAATTACTGTACAAACAGAAGCTGCAGCCCAGTATTTACTGAAGCTTTGAGTCAGAGCAAAAGCGAGTCCCAAATAGTGGAGACGTGAGTGAAACCCAGCAATTGCCATAAATAATCTCCTCCTAATCTGCTCCGACTAAAAACTCTCTCCAAACTGACGAGCAGCCGCATTTACAAACGCACTAATTTCACAGAGGGGTCACATAAAAAACATTCTTAAAATCTTTTTATAGCTTTGGAAAGAAGAGGGAGCTGGGAGAAGATGATTACAGCCTGAGAAAGAGAAGACACAGAAGGAGGTGGTGGAGGAGGAGATGATTCTTCATCATTTTCACTGAGATTTATAGCATATTTTTTTGTATTAATAAAATAGATCTTTCACCTAATCTTCAATATAATGGAATATCAGTCAACATCTGCAGTTCATCTTTATTTATTTAATTATGGTGTGGGTCCACACTCTTCTGTAAAAGTCCTCTTTAGAACGTGCTGAAGTTAATTGACTTTGACATATAGAACCGTGGGGTATCTTCTTTTCTGGCCTGTAACTACCTAATTACCACTACCACTGCTTCAGACTTGGGCCAACACCCAACAGTGGTCTACTTAGCTTTACTGTACCCTAAATAATAAACATCATAAAGGGAATAAATCTCTTGAGTGCTCAGATCATCAACGAACAATGTCTGAGGTTAACTTTGAACCAATGGTCCACTGATCTAACCATTCGGTTTTCTCTATAACTGAATGGTTATATCATGGCAGGTACTTGATGAAAACCAGGGCCATCAGAGCACTGATCATGATGAGGTAGGCCTACGTTTATTTTAGCGTTTGTGGGTGTTTTTGTAGTTAAAGGTCAGCTCCATGACCAGGTTCTTCAAAACAAAAACTCCTGCCATCAGCACTCACTCTCCTCGTCGTCATCATCCACTGGAGGACGAGCAGAAGGCATTTCTTGGACCTCTCTCCTGCTCTCATCAGTGGACTGCAGCGTTCCCAACTGATGCTCCTGCTGAGTGACCCAGTTGGGGGTGAAGCCCCCGTCATCCTGAGACGGACTGGAGGGGGCAGGAGACGTCACGGCTGCAGACAAAAGATTGTCAGACAGAAATAACAACCAGCGTCAGGTTCAACAGTTCACATTCAGGGGGCGCCAACTCACCTTGTTGAGGTGGAGCTGCTTCTGTGGAGTTCCTGTTTGGCCTGTCGGTGTCAGCCATGTTGACGAGCCAAACCATTGTTGCTGTAAGAAGGATAAATAGTACGTATATTGAATTTGTACAGCACCATTGTTGAACACTTGTTTAACTATGGTTGTTTTTAAATGTTCTCTTGATCTGTGACTGAAGTCTATGGAACATAAAAAACAGTTTTTAATAAAAATATTCACTTTCACCTCTTCAAAACAGGACATTGAAGTTACACTGTGTTTATGGAAGTAAAAATGGATACTGCACGTCATCATGTCAGTGTGTTTTAATGTGAAATTCGTTGTCTGTGGAGTGAGTGAAAGTAACCATCGATTTTTCCCCTAATGGCTAGCCCCTTCAACAGTGTTAGAATGTTTGCATTGACCATTATTTATGGTTGCATTTGCTGTAAGTCAGATGAGATCTGATTTATGAGCAGATATGAAAGTCACGTTTTGATAGAATCACCAAGTGTTTATATGACAGGAGAAAACTGGATTATGGTGTAAATATCTAGGGATGTATCTGTGTTGGAAGAACTAAACTGCTGTCTTTGATTTATCAAGTTCCTAGTGTTAATGATGAATCCAAGTGTCTGTTCAGACTGAGTCTCACAGGAGTAGATGAGAGCTGGGAAAATAGGTTCGTTCCTCTCCTGAGCCGTCTCCACCAGGATCCTCAGAGGTCCCTTAGGACAGAGCACTGCCAACAGATCTGTCAGAGGAGAGAGACAGAGGTCAGACACGTGAGCTCAGACTGCAGACAGAACAACTGACAGGTGTGGAACTGAAATGTTTGATAAGAGAGATGATGGGGTTGATTATATTACAGCTATTACTAACACGATGTGTATCTTCTACTACTTTAACCCAACAAAGTTGCAATGTGGTCAGTTTAAACTGACAATTGTTAACACAAAGACAATCAAACTGGTTGGAAAAGTCAGCTTATTTTTGGTCCACTGAAATTAAAAGCTGTCGCTTAAATTCCCCACCCTTGAAGGGCAGCTATGTGTTGAGCAACCACCAAAAACCAGGAATTAAAGAAATGCAGCTCACAGCTTCTTTGATTATCTCGAGCGTTAACTTCAGACCTATTCTGGGTGTCTCTGGGATTAAATTAACTGTCGAGGAATTAGGACAATAGAGTGTTTTAAACAAAACAACATTCTAAAGAAAGTGATTGAGAAATAACTGTTAAAAAAAAAAAAAACTGACTGCACGTGTCCCACAAAGACAAGCTTTTTACTTGGTCATAAAGTAGAGTCAAAAGGCTAGATAAAAGGTTTTATATAATGAGAGTTTTAGGCATTAAGGAGAAACAGATGTTTTGTAGAGAGCACAGTGCTGTCTTCAGAGGACGTGCCGGAGCTGCTGTCTTTTTTAGGAGCAAACAGAGGTCAGTGGAGGAGGAAGACAAAGACGAAGATTTACCATAGACTGATATGACAGCTAATATAAGCCAGGCAGTCCACTCTGGCAGGTACTTGATGAAAACCAGGGCCATCAGGGCACTGATCATGATGAGGTAGGCCTGCTGGAGCCGCAGAGGACCTTTCCAGTGAATACACATCATGCCCACCACTCCAAAGTTCCAGATGACTAACGCCAGCGTGAAGTAGTCCATGGCCACGTTGTAGGTCTTGAAAACCTCTCTGTGGGACAGAGCAGGACAGGGGGAAAAAAAAACATCTGATAAGACTTTGTCTGTGGTCATGACTGAAGCCATGTAAACCAGACACGAGTTTGGAGACTAAAATTAATGCAGGGGGTGTGACTTACTTGAGGTAGATGTAGGAGAAGAAGAAGAGCAGGAGCAGCGAGGAGAGAAAGAGCCAGCCTTGGATCACCTGTGGAGACAAAGACCTGAGTCACGACATCTAATCCACAATGTTTGAAGAAATCAGTGCTTGCAAAAACTTGTTAGATGTTTTTTTAACCAAGAGATGGGTGGAGTTTACAACAGCAGGACAAGACAGCGACAGGCAAGAAGGCACAAATCTGATTGTCAAAATTCTCAGCTCCACCTGTCTGCTGCTGAGGGTGCGTGTGCCGTCTACAGACTTTTAATTGTTTTGAAACACTTATGATGTAGTTTTACAGGGTTTTTGCACACTCAGTATATGTAACTACACAACAACAGGACTGTGCCTGTTCACAGAATGTACTATTTTTTCACTGTTCTAACAGCATTGGCTCAGATGATGGTACACACCCATTCCTGAGACCTAAAGATGATGCAGCCATGTTGGTGGTGGGACAGTTGTGTTTGACAAGTCAACACAGGATCTCTGACAGTGGAACATTCAAACAGTAAATGGAGTCCAATACAGAGCCACTCAAATGAGTGTGAAAAAAACAAACAGTTGGAAAACTTGATGAAGCAGTTTTAGTTTGACAACAATGAATGAAATATCTCACAAGAATACACTACAAAGCTCCCCAATATACAGTCCTGGTCATTTCTTTTGATGTTACATTAATCTATGTCTATGAGCTTTAGGAAAGGCAAACAAAAGAAGATATTTGTCTGGATTGATTACAATAATATACAATCCAAAAGATGCTCTTATTTCAGTTGAACATGAACAGACAAATGTCTCCAATAATAATAAATGTCACCATCTGTCATACTGATTTTAAACCAAAGCCAAATGATAGATATAATGGATGTGTAAACCTTAACACATTCATTATATGTGCGGTCTAAGACACAACACAGTCTTAGCTGTATCTGAGTCTGTACCTTGTAGCAGCGGTATTTGTATAGGAGCACCAGCACCACAGTCATGACGATGATCACAGTGATCATGATGGTGGCGTTGAGGACAGAGTGCAGAGCTCTCCGAGCCACTGTGTCTGTGTCTTCAGGGAACGGTGTGTAGATGCTGAAGGAGGACAGTTAAAGACAGGTTACACACACGACAAGAGAAAGTCAAGGTTGTTAAAAAAATGTTTCAACGCTTGACACCGTGTTAGGATGCAGTTCATTTCTCTATGCTTTTTTTATGTTTTGGCTCTGACTTCACACTAACAGTGTTTTAGTGTCTGCAGCTTTTGCTAATTCAGAATCACTTTACTGTGAGAAAAGCACAAGGTATAAAACATAATCTTTTGGTGCCTTGAACCAAACACCAAAATCATGCGTTTCTGTTATTTCACGTCTTGCAACACGTTACACTACCACCATCCAGTGGCAGAAAATTATATTACACATAATTAAAAACCCCAGAGTGATGGAGCATCTGAGAAGTCATGATACTTACAGTCTCTGTCCATCATTCTGGGTGTAGAAACTGACAGACTTGATTGTTGCCACTACGACCACCATGCAGAGGGTGACGGGGACGAAGAGCATGATGACGTGTTTGGCTCCATATTTCATGGTCATCTCCTCATCCTCGTCGTCCTCCTCCGTCTCCACCACGCGTGGAGCACGAGTAGCGGGAGGCTGTCCGTTCTGCTCCGGCCTGCTGTCTCCAACGCCACCTCCTCCATCGCCGCCACCGTCGCCGCCACCACCTCCTCCTCCTCCTCCTCCTTCAGCTCCTGAACTACCTCTTGATCTGGGTCTTGGCTGCCCAGCTTCTTGTGGCTGCTGAGTGGCCATACTGGCCGCCTGTTGGTCCTGTGAGGAAAATCATGACAAATTTAATATTTTTCTGAATTTTTTTTTTTTTTTTTAAATCGCTTCTTGAGAAATATCCAGAATACATTTACTTATTCTGGCTTAAACTCTAACAGTAAAAGTGACCGCAAGAGGAACAAGCACATGCCTGTTGATCAGCAGTATCTAGGTGTGGTCCAGTAAAACAACTTCAAGGGACAAACTGTAAAAATGTTTGGCTAATGAGCTGAAAAATGCTTCATATAATAAAATTCAGGATAAAGGCAACAGTAACTGTTCCTCTTTTGTTCATGGCAGTTTTGGTATCTACACATATTGATCACTTTATTGGGTACATTGGATTATTTTTCTGTCGACCTGAAGTTTAAAAAAAAAAAATCTGAGCAGCCTGTCTGATACCAACTTATCTAAACTTTTGTAGATGTTCGTTACTGTAATTGTCTTAACAGTTGACATGTGATTGGTGAATAGATGTACACTATGCATCAGTATGCAATTGAATAATGTACCTAATGTAGTGGCTGGTGAGAGTACATCGCAACCACTGCAAAGTGACAATTTCTACAGTCAAAGCCAGAACTTCGGCCTAAAATATGACATAGCTCCTTAAATATAACGGTAGTTATAATAAAAAAATAACCACGAAGTTAAACTGAATGACTCATCAGGAGGAGGCGTGACTTCTAAAAACACATGGTAGAAATCTGGTTCAATGCTCTGAAACTAACTGGTGGATCAAACTGACAAATGGCTGGAAAAAAGGGGGCTTTCCAGAAGAGTAGGTTTCTGCCTCTGAGATCCTGTGTCACGTGAGAGTTTAGCAGTGTCTGCTTCCACCTGCTGGACAGTTTTGGCAACTATAGGCGACATGATCCACAGCTGGCTTCCCTGCAGGAAGAGACTGCAGGAAGAGACTAAGGCTATAAGGCTGTTTTTTGTATGTGATGGACCAGATATTAATATTTGTTAGGTTCTTCTTTTGCAACTCTTCAAACGACATTCTTGTGCAACTGCTGCAAGGAAGAGGACGTGTCACAACTCAAATTAGGAAACTCAAAGTTTACGTTTCACAGTCTCCCAAAGTATATCCAAAAAACCTTCAAACTTAGAACCTTAGATTTCCTGTAATCTTGAATATATTCATAATACAGACCTTGTGAACGGGACAAAATATTATTAATCAAACTGTTTTTGTTGGCTGTACAAACATTGTAACAAAAGTGTTATCAGGTCAAAGCTGTTGACAGACCAGGGCTGAAGTGGAACGCTGACACTCGTTCCTTCCAACCATAACAAACCTCTGCTCATTCCCACTCACCCTCAGGATCTGTGCCGTCAGGGTAAGTAAATGAGGAAAGTCAAGGAGAGAGTTTGTGAACTAGAAGTGTCAGGCTGCCAGGCCAGTTGAAACATGCAGCAGCCCAGACATGAAGCAATTTCATCAGGTAGAACAGCAGGCAGACAGCAGGGATCTCTGGAGAATTACGTGAGAAGTTAAATCTGCCACAACTCCTAAAAACAACAGACGGCAGCGGCGGCTGGCTCTACCAAATGACCTCAGTGTGTGGGACGCTGCATTGTTTCCCAGGCTTGGGAATAAAGCCAATGATAGTAACAAGGGCATCAGAGACACAGACACGTTTGGTGAATGAGCTAAAGCTAAGAGTGCAGAGATACTGCACAAGTGGAGCAAAATGCCTGTTAAATGTCCTTTTCAGCCAAGGACACGATTTTTATTACAGCATGAATGACTGTTTAACTGTAACACTATCATTCTACACAGATACTGTTGCAATGTTTAAGCACAACTATCGTTGGTTAAACAAAGCGTGGAGGAAGTGTGATCCTTGAGCAGACTATGACAGTGAAATGAAAACTTTGCCCTTTGAAAACACCAATGTGGCCACACCTTTATGTGGACACGGTAAACACTCTCACTCACATGTATCTCCTACATATCCCTTATTTAGACTACAATCTGTTTCGTCCTGATATTAAAAGGAGAAAGATCAGGAAATCAGACTCAAACTCCACCGTTGTGTGTGATTGTGAAACAGATGAACTTTTAAAGAACAGTCTTTTCTGTTGACCAAATATTGCTCAACCTATGCCCAAACAACAACAAAAAACACGCAGATGTAAGTACAGAGAGTGTGATTTATACTCACCATATTGCTTTCGATATCCATTTCAATATTGTTCACCATCGCTGGCTCAGAAAACACTGGGCCTCACAAGTAAAACCAGATCTTCGAGAGGGAGAGGGTGAGGGAGAGAGAGAGGGAGATAATGTTTAGCTAATGACATCATCAGAGGTACCAAATATAATCAAGAGTGTAATCATAGAGGGTGGGATATACTTTAAAAATCCGTGAGGCAAAACCTTGACCGAAAGTTGACTCCGTGCTGACGTAAAGAAAAAGCCACAACAGCAGTGCTGTTGACATTAACATCGAAATATGAATGTCCTCAAAACCAAATAAACCACAACGTCAAACCAGATGACTCCCATACATCAATAATGTGGCACCAAGACAATTCTTGTTTGCTGGGATGCTGCCCTCACCCTGTATTTTCCCTGTTTTGAACGTCATCATTGCATTTCCGTAAAAACATACTGTATTTACCAGCAAAACAAGAGCCTCAGCAGATGGCGTTAATACAGTTGAAAGGATGTCAGCTGTCGTTAAATCCCAAACAAAGCTCACAGTATTATGTTAAAAATGTCGATTAATTGTGTTAAATTGTGTGGTTTAAGTATCAAAATACGTGTGAGGTGTACAGCTCCACAAATCAGCAGGTGTACAACATTATGATACCAACCCTCAGTATTTGCTTTAATGTCTACTGGGGTAAATACATGTTAAATACATGTTTTTTGATAAACAAATTTGCACTGCATTTAAAAATATTTGACTGCTATCTTGGTCAGGTCTCTCTGTTCTTTTAAAGAGTGGTTACCCTTAATAGGACTTCTTGGTTAAATACCAACACAAAAATTACCGCATATTCTACCACTCAGGGTGCTTTTACACTTCCTTCCAATTGAAGACTGATGTTCTTGTACAACATTATTGTTGGTAGGTAATGTTTCTCCCGCTCTGTGTAAACACTACAAGTCTGTAGGTGACAGAGTTCCACAGCGGTGAGACTGGACAACTTTCTCAGTGGGAGTCCACAACATTTTCTCTAATTTCGTCACAGCTTTTCAGTGTGAAACTATTATACATACCAATGGTTGTCCTCATGAAATAGTGTAACATACACAGATGCAGGAATAAGTATATAAAATATGTTATATTGGATACATAACCAATACATCACTAAGGCATCACTTCACAAACGCTATATTATACAAGTTATAATTAAAGTAACAACAGTGCTATTATACTAAATACCTCCATTGTGTATTTAACATTTATTATATTAATTAATATAGGGCTCAACGATATTATGTGCACAAGTGTCAAGTTAGAATAAACAATAATAACATTTAATTTAATCACTTTCAGTAAACAACTGGATACATTTAAAATGTATACACAGATTTATCGCCAGTATATTTTATTTAAAATTTAGCTGGAACGACTAGTACTACATTTAGTGTTTTGTTCAAATCAATTTTGTGAACAATGAAAAATGACAAAGTGCATGAATGACCAGTTACTTTACTCTGAGACGTATATCCACAGTCGTTCTCTAAAAATCGAATCATGCTGTAGCGGCAGATGAGGCAGCGCTGAAGCTAACTGGCTAATGCTAAAATACTCTGATTGCTCATAAACAAAGCGCTAAATTTGAATCGTTAATGTCGGGTTATGAGGTTTATAAACTAAAGGCAGCGAGTAATTACCTCAAATTGCGTTTTGAAATAGCTTTAAAACCCGGGAGATCTCCCTTCTTTGTTGTTCCTGTCTTTTCACAGAACTTCCGGCCGCTGGTGTAAATTAACCATAGAAACTAGCGAGAACTACTTCCGCTTTCTGCCCATCTCATACTTAGGAGGCATTCAAGTGTCAACTCTAAACACTGTGTTGTTAAATTGTCTCGTTAATTGGCCTTCGTCTTAAACATAATTAATTAAGATGTGCCACCTCCTTTTATTAGTGAACAAATGACGATGGTCGAACACTACTGTCAGAAAAGTGATAGTAGTGGGAATAAATAGGAATAGAAAAAAACCTTACAGCATTGTTCTGTGTTAAGGTTATATTTGTATTAAAGGTTATTCCCAGTTTTAAGTAATAATCTGAAAATAAATTATACAAAACAACAGCAATATTTCTGTTATGGCTGACACTGCATTTTGATGAACCACGCAGAGAACAATACATTTGTATTGGGCACAAAAACACATGTTTATTATTTATATAACCAAAAAACATGAGTCGTTTTAGAATGTCAGTATCAAACGGTTACAAATTTGACACCCCTTTCTACATTTAGAGTCTTATACAGAACACTCTCAATGAACAGAGGGGGTAAACAATAGGGTAAGAAAACGAGCAAAATACATAAACGTTTTTTTAAACACAGCTACACAATGGTAGCTTATTGTTTCTCCACTTGGTTACTTAGTATATAAAATAATATTAAAATTGTTTGCGGTTGGTTTGGGTGGATAGTATCCATCGCTTGTGCAGTCCATGAATGCATCACCGACAGAACCGGCGTTGTTCTTCCGGTGTTGGAGGTCAAAAAGCTGAGCCGAAGAAGAAGAAGAAGAAGAAGAAGAAACAGCGAGGGTTGGAGTAAACGACAGAAACCACAAGACAAATAACTGGAAATATGGTAAACGCGTCTTGATAGCACATATTTAAGACAAACAACATCTTCATACGTATTTGTTTTTTAAGAAATAAACGGATTTATTTTAGCAATGTTCGATCAAAGCTCTTTAAACAGACAAATCCGTCTCGGGGGGAGGAGGGGTTTGTGTAACTACAGTTGTTTTTGGTTCACGGTGAACTGAGAGAAACATGAGGTAAAGCATTTAAAGTAATGTTTTGTAATTGGAAGCGTGTTGACGTGTTAGAAAGCGTTTATTAAATACAACGTATCGCACTGAAATACACGTTGAAATTGCAGCATCAAAACTGAGAACATGTCCTTTGTGAGAGGAAAATGAATGAATGATTGTAACATTTGGCAAATTGTCTTTCAGTCCCACACCATCCTGCTGGTGCAGCCCACCAAAAGACCAGAGGGGAGAACGTATGCTGACTATGAATCTGTGAACGAGTGCATGGAAGGTAAATAGCTGACATTTTGTCACCAACTCCCAACAGAGAAACAAATTGTGCCTTTCTGCTAGATGGATATTTTCTGCTCCCAAATGTCTTAAAACCCTATTAGAAATGTTATAACAAGAATAATAGCTCTGATTAATTATAGTAATCAATTGTAGTGAATAAATCTCAATTACTTGTAATTGCGATTACAGTTAGTTGTGATTAATCATAATCACCCAAGTTAAATTAATATTTGACAAAAAAACTTTCTGTATATTCAGGTAGAACTATGTGTCTTACAACTGGCTCTGCAAATATTATTTCCATAAAATAAAAGATGTTATTGTTTAGATGGTTTAAGGCTTTTGCCTTGTGCACAGGTGTGTGTAAGATGTACGAGGAGCATCTAAAGAGAATGAACCCCAACAGTCCGTCCATCACGTACGACATCAGTCAGCTGTTTGACTTCATCGATGACCTGGCCGACCTCAGCTGTTTGGTGTATGTCTGATTGAAGTCCAGTTTGATTAGTTGCTGCCTGCAACTTTTTCCCATTTTCTTTATAACTTTTTTTTTTTTTTTTAATATATAGGTATCGTGCCGACACACAGACGTACCAGCCATACAACAAGGACTGGATCAAAGAGAAGATCTACGTGCTGCTGCGGCGTCAGGCCCACCAGGCAGCAAAGTAAAGCAGGAATCACTGTGTGGAGAATTTATGTTTACTCTATCTTACCTGTTGAAAAACTAACTTGTGTGGAGATTTTTTTAAAAAGTTTTTTTCCCCCTTCGTGAAGAGGAGGTGCATTTTGTATCTTTATGGTTGACTTATTAATAAAGAGTTTCTTTTAAATACATTTGCCCTTTTTTTTGTATTTAAAAAAATCAAATTCAGTGACTGTGTCTGTGGAAGGAAGTGGCAGAGAAGCATATCATGGTGGTGCAGGACTTAAAGAGCACATGGGATTTGAGTAGGATAGGGTACACGGGAAACAGCTCTGAACTCTTTGTTTGTATTGGTGGTGGACAGACATAATCAACCAGGAGCGCATTGAGGACTGTGTAAAAAGATAAATGGTTAATGTTAGAGATGGAGGTGGTGGAGCTGGACCGGTGAGGTGGAGCCCCCTGGAGAGAAACACGATAGTGAAGATGGAGACAATGGACCAAGGATGTTGAAACAGCAGGTAGAAAGAAAGACAGTTTTTAATGAAGATTCATAAACAAGATCAACTGTTGTTTTTTTTCCTGCAGCTTCGTCAGTCAGGAGTATAGGAGGATACATCACAGGATTCAGAGGAAATAAGTCTGGATTTTAAGGTTAAGATTAGAATTATTCTAATTCTGGGTCAGAATTCTGTAATAAATAAACAAATTCACACCACTCATAAATAAGACACAAACGGGAAAATGTTTTAAACAAAGATTCATTCATTTTTAAAGACATTAATGTTAGAATGACTTATCTGAAAAACAAACGACCTCGAGGGGAAATAATAAAAAAAACCACTAAAGTCAGAAGTGTTAAAAATATTTTGAGAAAAACTTCACCAATGTTGTTGTTGTTTTTTAAGAACAGTGGGAAAAGTCGTCACACTAAAAACATTGACTTTTTTCAAACCTAGTCACAAAGTCCAGACTTCATTATCTGACGTCACATCACAGCTCTCACTTCAGCCCCACATGTTATGACTTCTGACTTCATTCTTAGTTTTCATAAAAACACGATCGTGTTTTTGCGCTTCTGGCTCGAGTAGATGCTCTGTAGATATTGATCTTTGAATTAAGAAAAATAAAAATCAATTATAGGTGGACGGACGGCATGTGTGCAGGAGGAGGCGGGGGAGAAGGGAGACGTTTGACGCGGCGCAGGAGGCGACCAGACACTTCGCTCCTGGATCCTCCTCCTCCTCCTCCTCCTCCTCCTCGTCCTCCGTCTCCCAGTTGAAGCCTGTTCTTTTTATATCCACCTTTGTGTTATGATCAGCTCCGTCTCTCAGTCTGTTCCTCACAGCCACCCCCGGGTACCTCCCCCTTACTCCCCATCACCCTCCTCCTCCTCCCCTTCCACCTCCATCCCACCCTGTATCCCCCCCTCCTCCTCCTCCATCATCACCCCCTCCTCTCCTCCTTTTAGCATCTGAAAAGACCACTGAGTGAGAATCGATGGCGCAGAGGCCCAGCCTGACAGGACAATAAACCACAAAGAAAGAAGGGGTGAGTTTTTCTCTCCTTACCTCCTGCTCCTGACGCGGCGGCCGCTGCTTGATGTTGTTGTTGTTGTTGTTGTTATTGTTGTTGTTGTTTAGTGAGATGCAGCGGCTCGACTCTGTAAATGTACAATAAAGAATGAGAATAGAGGAGGAGGATGAAGGTGATGGTGATGATGATGACGCCGAGGAGAGACAGAGGGAGACAGAGGAGCAGCTCCGGAGCTGAGGGTTTTCATAAACACCAGTATCTTTTGTTACGGCGGTGTGTGTGTGTGAGTGTGTGTGTGTGATGATGAGGATGATGATGTGCTTCGGCAGCTGCCGTGTGAGAAGCCCACACTTTGGACGAGATCGTCATCGTTAGGATTAAAAATTAATAATAATAATCGTTAATTGTTCTTAATAAAAACCAGCGGTGAAAACACGCACACGTGCCCGCAGCATTACCACCACCATCATCATCATCATCATCATCTTCAGCATCAGCAGCTGCTCCGCATCCGTTTGTACGGTTTGGGACACAAACATTCACCTTATGTAACCTAGTCAAAAATAAAGCACAATGACTGGTTCCTGGTACTGTTGGCAGTGTCGGTTCTGTACCGACACACCAAGGATCTCCAGCATCGCTGCAGGTTCTGGATGAGGAGCTGGTTCTGCCTGGATTTTTTTTTTTTGGGCGATGCGGTACCTGAGAAAGGGGAGGGGGTGAGGTGCGGGGAGAGAGGGAGGGAGAGAGGAAGAGGCGATGATGCAGACGTGCCTCTGTTGTAAACAAAAATGTGGTTAGGGGAAGGAGATGAAGGGAGTGAGTCATGCTGTCACTCATGTCCATGCAGCTTATGGATGTGGATGAGAAAGGAGAGACTGAAGAGGAGGAGGAGGAGGCAGGGACTGGTCATGGTCATGCTGTCCTCCACATCCACTGCTCCTCTGGACGTGTCTTCCTGTCTGATATTAGGGAAGAAAGAGAAGAGGACAAAGAAGGGGAGAAGGAAAAAAAGAAAAACAAAAGAACAGGAGAAAAGTGAGAAGAAGAAAGAGGAAAGAGGTAACAGAATAAAGGAGAGAATCAGAGGCAGTTTTTAGTTCTCATTGTTTATACACACAGCCCATAACCAACTCTGTGAATCACAGACAGTGGGCTGTAGTCTACTGCACAGACCAAACTACCAGTTCACAGGCTGCACCAAAGTTCCTGGATTTGGACTTTAAAACCAACCAAAACCAGAACCACATCCACACCACAGACACTCTGTGCTGTTTCTAGAACCTTCCTTATGCTCTAACAGACTCTGACTGGTGGAACAGATTTAGGAAACGTTCAATCCTGGTCCTGTCCTCTGGATGTGTCTCCTCCTGGAGGTTTAGACTTTTGCAGCTACGTTGAAGGAGAGAAGAAGAGGAGGTACCGTAGAGACCAGCAGGAGGATCTGAGGAGCTCACTCATCTGCTCCTCGCTTCTGTTTCCCTCACAGCCACAGACGCAATCAATGCAACAAAATGTATTGTATACAGTGTGTGTGGGGGAACGGGCTATATTTGGACCAGACTGGCAGCAGTCCATACACCTATGACTAAATTACAGCAGCAGCAGCAGCAGCAGTGACCAAACACAGAGGGTTGAATACCATATATTGATCTGGTGTCTCGCTGGTGAGACCAGAATGTGTTTGGGTTTCCACTGGTGACCTCAAGTGACCTCAAAGCATGAGTGTGTGAAAACGGGTCTATTGCTCATTGGGAAATCCTTCTGGTATCAATACTGGCTGTTAAGGTCCATTAGTCCTCCTTGGGTCTAACAGAGTGTGTACTTTACCAAGTTTGATTAAGTCATGGAACGGTGCCATGCGGTTTGAGCAACACTTTGTTTACAGCAGGGAGCAGTGTTGTCCAGATGGGTCATTGGTGTGAAAGCTCTGCTCACTTTCTGTTCAGCTGTCCGTGGACGCAGCGATGATCCAACAGCATCACAGGGAGGACCTGTCTCCATCCTGCCTCCTCGGCCTGGCTTCTCCCGACCTTCAGACGACACAGAAGCCAAACCATACCTTCCCATGAGGCCACCAGCAGAACTCAGCCTGACCTCTCTGTATGGGGCCTCTCACATATGAAGTAGGTGTCGGTTATACCTCAGACCTTAGAGATCTCAAGTTTAGGACACAAAGACAAAACGTCTAACGCTAACCCTACTAACGTTCTCACTTGTCGTTGCTTGGTCTCAGTTGACATGGAGGATGAAGATGGGACTTGTCTACTTGATGTTTTGTGGTGAGTTTTTCTGGATACTTGTTTTTGATTATTTTCTTTAGTAAATTGTTCAGTTAAAGATCATGACACTATTTGAACTAACATTCTGTTTGTCTCCATGTTCACAGTGACCCCCAAGCCCTAAACGACTTCCTTCATGGGACCAGTGAGGTATCAGAAAGAAATCACTTAAAAAAAAATAGAAAGCTTAATTACCATCAAATAATTGACATTGCCAATTAAGAGCTTCCATTTAATAGCACAAATGAAATAGTGTCAGCAAAATCTATCCAACTCCAAAACAGACGCCTGTGGCTGGGGTTTTCAACCGAAATGGTTTGAGCGCCTGCAGCACCTCTGCCGACACCATAGCTAATCGGCCACCACCTGTTGAAGAACTCTGACCAAAGATACTGGTTGCTATGGCAACACACCGAGAGCTTGAATTCTTCTCTATTCTAGAAATATTGCTGAAAGGAGCAGATCTTGCGACTAAAACTGAGCTTTTTGGGCCAAAAATATCAACTGAGAATGAATTCCATCTCTCTAGTATTTGATCAAAACACGTACTTCATCCAGGACCTCAACAAAATATGTTTTAGGAGATATACAAAACTGTGTTGATTTGCACTGAAAATAATAGTAAAGTCAGCCCAACCCAAAATTTGCTGATTTTGTCCCACAGCTGCAGACTGAAGACCTGCTCATTAACTCCTCCTCTGGGGAGCCCTCCCTCTTCACAGATGCCCCGGTGAGTGAGTGTCTGGATCCACAGCCACAACAAACCACTCCAGAGAATGATTTTGTTCCTGCTTAATCAAAACGTCCAAGCCTCATTTTCACACTGCTCCTTCTCCTCTGTTGTTCACACCTCTCTTTTTATCGCCCACTGTTTCTCTCCTCCCGCAGAGCCCAGTCTCTCTGCTGGGAGATGGCAGGGATTCCCCAGACACTCCTCCACCTGGGTGTGTGGATCTGTCCTTCCTGGAGGAGGCCCTCTTGTCATCGCCAGAAGGGACCGAGGATCCACAGGTGGTTCAAGTTGGGCAATCACTGGAAGGTGGATGTGAGGCTAAGGAAGGAGAAGTGCCAGAAGTGGAGGAGGTGGAAGTGGCCTGTGATATACTCCAGCAGAGTCTGCAGGAGGCTGAGATCACAGAGCAAACCATGGCTCTGGAGGCAGGTTTAGCCCCAAGTGGGGACAGTCTGTCCTTGTACTCCCCAACTCCCCTTCTCTCTCCTCCAACCGTGCCATTCATTCACAAGTCTATGACGTTGCCCATCAACCAGGCTTTGCCCAGAGACACCCAGGCAGCAGTGGAGCCTCCGCAGCCCTCCCTCCTGGCTGTTGGGCCTGGCTGCCCCTCTCTGAAACCCACCGCCCCACCTCTTATGGGTCTCTTGCCTGGAAATGTGTTCCCTGCTCCTTCTCCAGAGACCTCCTTCTCTCTGAGTCCAGTCCAGGGCTCTAGTATCATCATTAACAAGGCTGTCCCCAGTGTGACCAACTGTCCCCTCATCAGCCCAACACTGAGAGCAACAGCAGCAGCACCTGGGATCGTGCTGCAGAGAGCCCCTCTACCCATCCAACCGAAACTGCCCATCAACATTCAGCCCAGACTGGTTCAAATTAGCCCCAAGCCTTCGGGGCAGAAACCAACCCAAGGTCTTACATTTGTCCCTGGGGCTGCCTCATCAAATATTCTACTGTCCCAACCTTCAGGACATAAATCGACTATCCCACCACCACAGCCAACACAGCAGCTTCCCAAGCAAGTCAGCCTACAGCTGGTCAACCAGGGCGGCTCATTTGTCCTCCAGCCTCAGGGACTCCTACAAGGCCAAAACCAGTTCCTACTCCCAGGTCAGTCTCCCGTTACAATCTCCCAACCTGCCAATGCAGTCCAAACACTGCTGACTTCTGGTCAACAAGGCCCGTCCGTCCACAGCATGACTTCGTCCACCGGGCAGCTGATAGACAGCCCCCAGATTCTTACTGTTCCACAGAGGCAGCTGAACTTTGGCCCCGTCTTTACCACCCCCACAGGGCAGCTAGCGCTCCGCCAGGCCACGGTGCTGTCAGCACCCTTGCATCTCCAGTCAGCAGCTCCTACTGTCTTCCAGATGCCGGCGCACCTTGCAGGGACCTACACTCCAGGAGGGCAGGGGCAGCGTGCCACCCTGGTTCACAGCCCTGCTCTTGGAAACCACTTCACCTTAATCAACAGCACTGGGGTGCTCCCCCCTGATCTCACTTCAATCTCGATCGTCAACGGCCCCTCTGTGGTTCAGGGGCTGCCTTTTGCCGCCCAGGCTGCAGCTCCGCAGGCAGGAGTCGCTGAAGGACAACTGAGCCTCCAGTCGGCGTCTGTGGTGCTGCTGCCTGAGAGAGCAGTACAAGAAGAGAGGAGCGGCTCCGAGGAGATGTTCCATCAACTGCAGCAGGTGAACTTAGAAGGAAACGTCTTCTTATTTCAGTCATCAGTTCTTCACAGATCACAGGTCGTCAATATGTTTGGTGTTCCTTTGTCTCTTACAGCCATATGGACATGTCCTTCAGCACGTGTCAGTGCAGCCCACCACCGCAGGGCTGCAGACCTCCTCTCCTTCTGTAGTAACAGTCCTGCAGCCTCCTCCTCCAGCTCCTCCTCCTGAACCGACTTTGGTTCCTGATTCAGCAGCTGAGATGCCAAAACTTCTCATCCCCCCCGCAGACATCAACCAAGTGGTAGAGGAGGTGGCTCAGTCCATGAGCCAGAACCAGGCCTTTATGCAACACCTGAAACAGGTCTGAAATTTAAATTTCTGTTCATTGTTCGTTGTATAATTCAGATGTTGTGATGTGGATTGCCTAATTATAAGTCACTCCATCTCTTCAACAGCAAGCACTTAGTTCTCCCATTGCTCCTGAACTGCTGGTTGGAGTGTTGCCAGTACCTATGGAGTCTCTGGACTCCACCGTGGTGAAAGAGAAAGAGAGTCAACCTCAGGCCCACGCAGATCCGGGTCCCAACACCTGCTCTGTCACACCTGACCAGTGTGTTGAGTCTTCTCCCCTTCACTCTGACCCTGAAGACTCGTCACTGCTCTGCTCCTCCCCTCCAGTTGAAGACAGTGAAGAAACTGCATCAACAATTTTCTCCTCTACACCCGGTCCCCAGATCAATCTCCCTGGACCCGAGGGCTCAGGCTCCCAAAAACCAACTCCACAGTCACTGAGTGTGCCGCAGGACTTGTACCAAGTCAGTCAGCAGCTGCAGGTCTCACAGGCTTTATTTGGCCCAAACCAGGTGCAGATCCAGCAGCCATCTGTTCCCCAGTGTCTTCCCCAAGTCCAGCTCCAGGTCCAGGCTCCTGTTTCCAAGCCACAGAACTCAACCCTTAGTCAAAGCAGCTCCTCTCCACAGCTGGTCCGTATCCTGGTGCCTCAGCAGCAGCCTGATCTCCCAGCTGCTGGTCTCTCCAAAGGAGAAGACCACCCTGCTGTCCAACAGCACACACAAAACAGTAAGTCTGTCCCCACTGACGTCCTCAAGTGATCACTTCACCACTGTTATCATGACCATGGTCACTGTAGGAGACATCTTCAGCAGTCCACCCTTTTGTCTCTCAGAGCCAACAGCTGCCTTGGCCATGGAGAGTAAATCGTTTACTCTTGATGTCCATCCTCACTCTCCTGTAGCCTCGGGTGTCCAGCAGCTTCATGGGGGACCAACTCCCATGGAGTGCACCCCTGTCCAGACAACCCCACAGCCCGGCATCAAGGTGAGACATCCTGGCACCTCACCTCTGAAATAGTTTGATAGGAAAAAGTTTCCAAACCTTAAATAAACCAACTTTGTTTTATACATTTATATATACTGTATATAAATGAACTTCTGGAGTTCCTTATGGATTATTTACACCTGGTGGCTGTATTTATTTCAAATGAATGGCTTTGAGTGGCTCATGGTTTCAGTTTTAACCACATTACCCAGCTTGAATCCTTTGTTTTCTGCAACAAATTTAAATCATTTACTCTGGTTGTTCAGCCAAATTGGCTCCAGTCAGGAAACACAAAACTGTTTTTAAAAAGATTATTTGTTGAATGCTTAAAAAAAATGTATTATTCATGACTTGAAAGTGCTTCCCTGTCCGCATCCTTTTGATCTAATCCAAAAATGTGGTTTGTTTGCCAGCTGGCAGCTCCTGTGGAGCAGCAGAGAGAGGAGAGGCTCACACCAGCAACGAGGAGGCACAGGTGAGAGACCAGTTCCTGGTACTGTTCTGTTCCTGTAAACCCACCCAACATGAACAGAAACAGAAACAGATTTCCATTCAACACATACTGTAGTAGTTATATGAATAAATATTTGTTATCTGTCATTTTTTTCCATGATCAATTGCTCCTCATTTCAGGCGACCCCTCCTGGGGCTGCGAAGTTTGAAGTGTGAAGGACACTGTAAAGACTTACTACACCTCGTCTTGTTGTCTCGTCTTTTCAGGTTCCAGCAGCAGCTTTGTTTGGACCACAGAGCAGTGCAGCAGCCCTTCACCCGCCCTGCCTTCCCCACGCTGAAGGACGCTGTTCGACGCCTGCTGCCGTACCACACCTGTGCTGGTCACCTGCCAACGCAGAGTGATTTTAATTTAGGTGAGTGGGCATTGGTCAGGAACTGGAGGTCCATTCATAGCTGAGGTACCATGTTGGCGGCAGAAAGGACCTTGGCTAAAAGGACGACCAGGGGAGAACAGGATGGGCTGGGCGAGCTGTGGTACCATCGCTGCTTTAGTGCATTCATTAACTAATACTGTTCTTGGTGGCTGTGTATACACATTCAGATACACCAGGGGTCACCAAAGGTCACTCATTACTCTCAATGGGATATAAAAGAACTCCAAAAAACAGTTCCTGTATGATGACATAATTGTCAGCCTTAATTAATTCAAGGTTCAAGGCCCCATTATCTGTCAATCTATTTGTATGTGAAGATTGTGCTGCACTCCGAGGTAGCGGCGGTACAGCTGTTACCATAACAATAAGCCCTGCTCGTGTCCTAGAATGACTTCGAACACTGACTCTAAAACATAATTCAACATTTTCCATGTTATTATTCAATTACTATAATTACTACTTACCTTTGAATAAACATTAATAATGTCAGTCACTGATCCTGTTTAGAGGAAAATGGAAACTAATGTTAACTATGCATCAACCATGCATATGATAGTTGTTCTTGCAGTAAGCGTCTTTTAAAATAAGGCCAATTATTGTCAATTATAATATCCATCCATCCATCCATCCATTTTCATCCACTTATCCGTTACCGGGTCGCGGGGGCAGCAGTCGCCACCCAAATCACACTGCACCATACCAAACCCCCTAAACCTTCCTGCGGGTGGTGAGTCCACTGGAAGGTACCAACTGCCCTAATCGGGATCCGAACTTGCCCAGGAGGTGAACCCTGGGGTTCCCAACCAATGACAGAGACATTGCCTCAATTATTACTCAATTATAATATGAATTAATTAATAGGCAGTTGCACTGAATTTCAAATTTATCTCACATTGTACAAAAGTTATATCAGAAAAATACACACCCTAAATGCGTTGTCTCCTCCACATCCGGCTCTGTGTCCCGCTTCCAGCTGAAACGAACCAAGGACATGGTGAACAAATACAGGCAGCTACTGGTTAAAGAAGCTCAGGTGAGACAGAGGCAGCACAGCGACACACTCCTCCACCTCACTGAGACCACCACCACTGTGGAGAACACCCTCCAGTCACGGCCACGTCTGGGCTCAAACTATATCACACATCACACGGGCTTATTTAAAAAGATCATTAACTGCAAATGTTTACCAACTTCACCAGAGCAGCATCAGATGCTCGTGTGTCAACAGGCAGTGAAGTCATCTTCCATTCGTGAAGTGATTTGTGAGATGGTGTGTGAACTTATTTCCCCACAGCAGGAGAGTCCATCTGCAGAGATGGTGATGCTGGAGCGTCTCTTTCTACAAGCCGAGCGATACGCTTTAGCGGAGGACAGACGGCGAGCCCGCAGAGACCCAGGTCAGTGTCCCAGCAGGAGACAGCGGCAGTTGGCGTTGGTACAGCAGCTGTGTTTGCCTCCGTTTTTTAATGGGAAATATGCTGCTTTACGAGCTGGAGGTGGAGGAGCAGAGGGAGCGGTGACACATACTGGTGCTTCTAACAAACTCATTTAGCAGCGTCTCGGAGTGAAACACCTCACCACCATATTTTCTCCCAGGTGTGAATGTGTAATTAAGCTGTGTAAACGTGGAGCAAGGTCGTGCTGAGACAGACTGGGGAGAAAAAAGGGAAACGTGACAGAAGCAAATTAAAACAGGGATTTTATGTTAATTAACAGTCGGAAAAAAAAAAAAAAAAAGAGAAGGAAGCTCTTCAAATCTGATGAACCCCACACCTGACTGCTGCTGCTGCTGCTGCTGCTGCTGCTGCTGCTGCTGGATCCCAGAGGCTTCAGCATGTTCTCTAAACTGTTCTACAAATGTATGCTAACTTGCTTTTCAATAATTTCCGAGGAAAAAACGATAATAATTCTTACAGATATTACATAATTATGTTAACATTGGTCCAATGACAGAAACTATTGGACCTCCCTGGTCAAAAGTCCAAAAATGTAATTGTTCTTCTCACAACTGGTTTGTTGAAATATTGTTAATTCTACCTTTCTCAACGGCCACCTAAAAACTAGCACCAAATTGTGTCAAACACGTCAAGCTAACCTGCAATAATTTCAGTGGAGTCAATTCACAATCCTTTTCAAACTTGCTGAGAGAACAACTTGCTGTTGGAGGTGTACGGCCTCACATCTGTGCTTTAACATCTGTCACAGTTTAGTGTCAATCATTTTAGTTGAGCTTTTTCCACTCACCGTGTTGGAGTCCTGCTCCGCCTCTCGCCGACTATCCACTGACATTTCCTCTCCTCCTTCCAGAGTCGTTCATGACGGCCTTGGCCACATCAGTGTCTTCCCCCCTCGAAGCTCCCTCCTCTCGGCCCTCCCACCTCCGCCCCTCTGGCAGCCCCTCCTCTCCACCAGCCTGGTCAAGACTCTCTGACCGGCCCCCAGGACTGAAGACGTATCGCTCCAGCTCCCGCGGGGCCCTCAGACTCACCATCAAGCAGGAGTCTGGCTCCCGTAAAGTGGTCCATAACTCAGCCTGTGACCCTGGGCTGAAGAGAGACCACACGGGGCAGCTGACCAATGGTGGAGGAGCTGCGACGGAGCAGGCTCCCAACGGAACAAACCAGCATCAGGAGCAAGACGACGAAGTGATCGCCAACGGATCGAGCCCAGCAGAGGAAGTCCAAATTAGGACACCAAATTCCAAAATAAAAGCCTGCAGTTCTCTTTCTATGCCACAGCCACAGGATGCCTGCTTCGAGTTGCCTCCCAGAGATGTCAATGCCCCAAAACTAAAATATTACAAGCTGGATTCACCTCTGCCGCCTGACCCTAAATTCAGTCCTCCTCTCCAAGAGGACAATATGCTCAGTGAACATCTACAGAGTGCCATTGACAGCATCCTGGAGCTGCAGCGTCTACAGGGCCCGTCTGCGGCCCAGGCCAGAGCCACAGCAGGCCCATCACTGGATCAGACGGTCACCAGCATCCTAGAAGGACACCTGTGAGGTAACAGGCCCCTGAAGACGTCCTTCCACAGAGACAAACGTCTGTCCTGAGGTGGGAGAAAGCAAAGTACAAAACTTCGAATCGGTTCCCAGAAGAAACAAATGATTGTGTTTTCTTGGTTGGAGATTTTACTTTGAAGGAACCGGTTGTTTTGGGGGGAGGAGAAACAGTGAAAGGCACTATTACAGAGATGCAGAGCAGACAACAGCACTATCTACAGTCTGATAGATGTTAGATACTTCATTTCCTTGTACGTTTGTGTGGGAGAAATCTATTGGAATAGGAGCTCTATTGTTTCAGTGGTAGGTTTACGACACTGGTGTAACCTTCATCATCAGCATATAGTATATAAGTAATAGTGAGGATAAAGAAAATGTGGAGTAGACTGAGATTATTCAATAGTTTTTTATAAGATTTCTTTCAGAAAAAAAAACCACAATGTGAATTTTCTTTGTCATAGTGCCAAGCCTCCAGGGTATTTATTTTGATAATCTGCCAATTGTGTTTTCAGATGAGTTGCATTGAGAAACACAGCAAGAGTGCGTGCGACGAGTGTGTGAATGTGTGTGTTATTGTTAGGGAAGATCATTTGGGTGGATCTGAAGGAAGTGTGTATGTGTGATTAAAAAAGAAAAACCAGTGCAGGCTCTGTCGTCTCGGCCTAACGAATGAAACTCCAAAGAGAAATTATTGACTCGCTACATCCTGAATACACCAGCAAACATCCCTGTTGTGTCTCTTCCAACAAACCGGAAAGTCTTTGCTAGAGTGGAAATAACTAACAGGGGCACAGGAGGAGAAAAATAAAACAGAGGAGGATTTCTGTGGTTCAGTTCCGTCTTTACTTTTTGACCCTGTGTCATAGATTATGTGAGAAATGAGTGAATTCATCAGGGTGGAAACTGCAACTGGAGAGAAGATCAAACGTTCTCCACTGGTTTTTGAAGTAAATCCAGACTGTGGCTAAATAAGACAACTTCCTTCACTTTAATAGATCTATCACCCCAGTCACTTTCAATGGAATGTTGTGATCCTGTTTAGAGGAAAATGGATGAAACAGCACAATGGGAGACAGAGGGTATGAATGAAGTCAACACGTCACTGACAGCAGCAGATGTCAGTGACGCGTACGACACCATCTGTGTGTCCACTAATATGGCGAGAGCCCACGTTATAGGAAGCTAACCGCAGCTATCTGTTAGAACTGGTGGCTATTTTTCTTCTGTCACTCGGGGGCTGAAGCCAGTCCCAGCAGCCACCAGATGAGGGCGGGGACTTGCTGTTCACCAGACCATCACAAGGCCACGAACACAGACAACACTTCACACTGACAAAAAACACAAACCACTGGTTTTCCTGCTGTAAAGCAGACACAAAAACCACTCTTCTGCCATGCGGCCTGGAGGAGGAGCCATCAGTGAACCATCGGTGGTTCCACGGTGTACGAGTTAGCACACCTGCCCTGGAAGCAGAGAACAGAGAGTCCTGGGTTTAATTCCCAGAGGAACCACATATCCCCCAGTGGCGCCTCCTGTGTGGCAGCCTGTGTTGGTTGCATCGACTCACACTGTACATTTCCCATTGAATCAGACATGAAATTAGCCATTACAACCAATCAAAGGTTTAGGGAAGTGAAGTTGTCTCGTCTTTCCACCGTCTCCCATTTCAGAGTTACTTCTTCAACCAGCGGAGCCACGCCCACAGCCTCACTTCTCATGTGTACTAGTTCTGTGTCTATTCTCAGAGATGATAAAGGTCTCCTTTTACTGTGTGTGTTAACATGCAAGCAATAATGAGTCGGGGGCAGTGGGGATACAGTGAGGAGGAGGAGGAGGAAGAAAGAGGAGGGAGGTCTTTGGCCTGTGGTGATTTCCAAATGTCATTGGTTGTTCAGTTTAGGAAATGGAAGATGACTGCTGTCACCGAAGCCCCTGTTGTTTTGGGACATTTTGAACGGCTTTAGGGTCACATCATGTCCGCGAACCATCGTAACAACACATGTAGTACCAGAAAAACCAAATCTGTCGTTCATTTTCCACAACACTGTAGAAAACACGACCAAAAACTGAAGGGATTTTCCGATTCATATTTTCACGTCTTTTCATTTGTTACATTTTAAGGTCTGCTAGCCGCCGTACCACGGAAATGGTTTGTTTTGATGCAGCCATTTTGGAGCAATACATGCAATTTTTTTTGGAAGTCTTATGTTCACGTGACAATCTTGTTGGTTTGAGTAAAAATGTGAATTCTGTCGTCCTTCACCGTTCCGGCTCTCCGTCATGTTCAAATTGTTCTTTGTACTTGGATGTGACCTTAAAGGTCAAATTGAAATCTGCAGAACGTCTTAAACTGAAGTTGGGAATTACTTCTAACTGTTCAAAGACTTAAAGTCTGACTTGTCGTGTTGGGAAATGCCTTTCTGTCGGGCTGTTATAAAGGAGTGGGATTTAAAAAGAGGACAAAATAATGTGATTTAAAAATACTGAAATATGAAAGTGACCCATCCCTTCAAAAATGACTTTTTTTTATTTCTGATGTGAAATTGTGTTTTGTTGATTTGAAGAAATTGATTTTTTCATATGCAGTAACTTATGTTGAAACTCTCAGTTTGGGAGGAAACACATGAAGATTGATTTATTCTGGGAAAAATAACTGTGTAAAAAAAAAAGAATAATTATACACTTCCCAAGTTTGGGAAGTGTATAATAAGGACTGAAAATGAGATCAATTTGACTATTAGAAAATGTTAATGTTATCTAGGACCAGCACATTCCAACATAAATGGAATGTAAAAGCTAACATAAAAAATAGCAGTGTTACTACATTTTATCACACAACCTACTACAGTATTTTCCTCTCGTCAGGCGTAGCTTTTGGTTGAATCTAAACATACCATAGCAACTACAACTACCGCTATTTAGCAGCTAGCATGTCAATCTTTCCCCAAAGCTAGATATTTTCTTTCAAGCTAAGCTAACCCCATGCTAACTCAGAAAATAATAACAAGCAATAGCAATTTCAAATTCTTAATGTCTAACAAACACAAAAGAAAAACTGCTTGTTGAGTCATCTATTTAATCTGATTCTCAATCATGCTAGCTCAGGTTAGCTTAACGTTAACTCAATGTATGGTCAATTTAAACAATATCGGTAAAAAGTTAATATCGGACATCCCTACTTTCAACCCCTGCCTTACCTCCATTGTACTCTTCATGAGCAGCTACTCTAATCTTACAAGTGGCTAAAACATGGACAAACAATGTCAATGTAATTTTGGGTTAAAACTAATCTTTTTTTTAATCTTCAGTGTTTCTTCCCTCAGAGGTTTCACTGAAATGCAGTAAAGATGTCTTTCACGGCATACGATTGCACTCTGCTCACCATAAAAAGAAGACAAATGACGGAATGCCATCAACTTTTACTCCGGTTTTCATTTTTACACAGCACTTCCACACATTTGCCAAACATGTTTTTCTTTGTCGATTAAAAGACATTCAGAAATGAAAATCCTGGAGTGAACTTTGATGGACTTCTCTCCAGTGACGTGCCATTTGTTACTGTTGTTGCGTTTGTGTCAAACACTGACCTCGAGGACGGCGGTCAGTTCTGTCAGCAGTTTACAGTGACGGCTTCACTTTGGTGTGCATGTCGAGCCACTTATTTATTTACTATTTATTGGTTGAAAATGTCTTTATTTTTCTGACTGTACTGTGAAACCACGGGAGCTCATTCCTTCTTACAGCGATCAAGTAAACATTCGACTGACAGATTGTTCCGATGCCAAAATCAAGAGGCCTTAATTTAGCAGAACTAGATTGTAAAAGTCATTTCTGACACAAAAAAGAAAGAAAAAAAAAACTAACAAACTAAAGACTCATTTGAGCTGAAAGTCACGAGTGATTCATATATGAAATGTTAAGAAACCACTTTTGTACTCATTTTTACAGACTATTTATTAAACTGTGATTTTGTAAGAAATAAAAAAAGAAACAAATGGCGAAGGTTGTGGTGTCGCTTGAGTTTGTAAAACAGTAAAGACAAAAAAAAAAACTTTTTAATTGCCATTTCTGTTGCATGTTAACTCATGTTTTGAAGCTTTATTTTTTAGCCTTTTAGCTTAACTTTTAACCATTCAAGCTGTATGTGAGCCAAGTGTAGTTTTCATTTGGACAAATTTAAGCAAGCTAGCTTTTAGATATATGAGCTAGCTGATTTAGCTCATTCAACCTTGGAATTATTTCTGTAAGTTTTAAAATATTTTCTGAAATCTAACATTTGTCCAGTTAATTTTGAGGGACATGGTGTGGTCGCACAGTCAATGTTGACAGCTTGACGTCACAGTGACAGATAACAGAGAGCTCACTGTTGAAACATGTCTCAGTAAAACTACACCTGGAAGTATAAACTTTAGCTACTTTAGCTTGTGTGGGTTTCAAAGCCATTTCTTTCAACCAGTCTTTCGTGAAAACATTATGGTTCTTATTTAATTTTTGCTATACTTTGGATGAACATTTTCAGGCTAACCTTAAGTTGACTCTTTGTAGATTGAGTGTTTGAGGTCATCTTTAGTTGTCCTTGTACTACTTTGTATTTTTATGCACTTTGAAAATTTTAAACCCACACATTAAGGTGTCAACAAGGATTCCAAACACCATTAAATACAAACTGGACTTTTATTCACATTTTTTTAAACATCAGAGTTTAGGAAAAACAAACAGCTGCTTGTATCCACAGAACCATGAATAAAGACAAAGCAGCTGTTTTTACACACTTCTTCATTTGTAAATAAATTAGTACACACTTAAGACAAAAATCTTAACATTTGCAGAGTGGGATTTAATGATCGTTGGCACATGTTTTCTTCACTGTGTTGTTTGGATTCTGTTCAGTCGACGTCGTTTGAGAAAAACTACTGTAAATAAAAAGAAAACAAACCATGTCCCAATGCTGTGACAGGTCTCCAGTCAGGTTCAGGGATTAGGAGGCTCATTAAAACATGAGCCGTGGAAGAGACCCAACCGTCATGGAGGCCCCACAGGAGGACATGAACATCACAAGTCTAAATGAGCCAACGTTAGTGTTCCCACCCACAAAGGAGAAGATCAAAGGAGGTGCAGATGGGCCCTGAAGCAGAGAATTTTAAGTTAACGTTTGGTTTCAAGTTGCTTCAAGGAAAAAAAGATCCTCATCTACTGAATTAAAACAGACCAGAGGCTGAAAAAGCAGCAGAGCACGAAATAATCCAAAGTCATGAAAATATGACTCTCTCTTTCTCTCTCTAAGTAGCATCAGTTTCAGCAAAGCCACGAAACTGAGGGGAAAGTAAGAGCAGGAGGCGGCGTCTCCTTCTTAAAAATCCAACTCCATATGTTTTTAAACATGTCTCATATAATTACACACTTCTCAGGAAAGTGTCTGTATGCCGTTAGCTTTGTCACACTCAGTGCTGGCTTTTCATCTCAGACGGAGGAGCGTCAGTGTGTTTGCTCCGTCCCCTCCTTCATTCACACACTCTTCATAGCAGCGCAGCAGTGACGGAGCTCGGGCGTCAGAGAAGTTTGGTCGTGGTTAGTAAATCAGAGCACAGATCCACCGACGTCAAGACCACTCTTCAGAAACCCCAGTCACAGTCTGTGGCGTCGGAGCCGACACCTGTCAGTTGAGTTCGATCGACACGTCCTCTCCGTACTTGCGGATTAACTTGTGGTGGTTGTGGTCGATGGACCACAGGGGCGGGAGGTGACGGGGCTTCATGGAGGTCAGGAAGTGCTGCCTCCAGCGCCGCTCCAGGTGCATGAGACCCCGCAGACCCTGCTCAGCGTGAGCCTGGACCACCCTCAGGCCGTGAGGAACGAAGGCCTTGTTGAAGATCCTTTAGAGGAGAGAAGGACAGGTTTGTGCATCATCTCTCTGGACAGGAAACACACGGACAGTCTGCAGACCAACACGACGGCTCAGCGATCAACAGAACTGGCAGAATTTGGTGGAATAAATTCACTTGTTGATGGACATCAGTGCTGCCAACAGGTAATGTGTGGACCGTCCCTCAGCTGTACGACAGGTACTTGTTCAATCGGTGAACAAAATGACACCTATTACACCTAACCATGGTGCGTGTACAGCTGTACGACAGGTACTTGTTCAATCAGTGACCACCTATTAGAGCAGTTCTCAAACCATGGTGCGTGTGTCAAAGTGCACCTAGTTTTTGTTGCACTCAGAATTAAAGTACCAGCTGTAGTGTTGTATTTGTAATTGGTATTTTTTTAAATCATTTTTATTCCATAAAAATAATCTTATAGAAAAAAATATACTAATTTATAATTTTATTAATTCAAAACTTGAAAATATTCCAGCGGAACATGGATGGTATTATAACAGCGTTTCTCAAACTACGGCACGCATACCACTGGTGGTACTCGGACTCCCTCTAGTGGTGCAGTAAGGGACTCTGACTCCCATTGTAAACAAGTGAGCCATGTTTTTCTTCTAGTTCAACTGGTCCCATGTGCCTGTGTGTGTTTCTATTTTAGAACTACAGCTCCAGTTGTAGGACTGCGTCATAGTCTTCAGCTGAGAACTATGTAGGTCTGTGCTGCTGCAAGTTAACGTTACCAACATGAACTACAGCTCCCTCTAGTGGAGGAGCACCGGGAGTGTGTTCCTGCTCACATCCAACCCTTGTCTGTTCCTGGTACTGTTGTGAAAACTACCGTCTGTGTCTGCTGTTTATTCATGTCTATAAACAGTTAAAATAATCACTGACATCAACATTATCGACAAACAGTTAAAATAATCACTGACATCAATATTATCAACCAGACAGTTCACAGGTGGTTAAACACAGGGTCCGTGTTACATGTTAAGGCTGTGTGTGTGTGTTTACCTAAACACTCTTAAATTATGTCTTCATTAAACTCAGCAGTTACCTTTTAATTAAGCCTGTAATAAACCAGAGTGAAGCTGCTGCTGAAGCCAGTACTAATAAAAGTCCAGTTCTTTTATGGGCACCGCTGTTTATCTCCTGATTAACTGACCGTCTTACACCAACTGTACAGTTAGCAGCACAGTCTGCAGCGTCAGTGCAGCTGATGAGCTCCACTGAACACGCTGCTCAATAAAAAGTAAAAAAAAAAAAATTAAAAGAAAATAGAAAAAAAAAAAAAAAAAAAAACTCACGGAGCTGACGGTTAGAATGTCAAAATACATTGTCAAATATCTGCTGTAGTATTTATATTGATGCACTGAAAATACACCAACCAAGCAAAACGCCAACAACTGATTCTGAATATGACTCTACATTGTGCACGGTTGATATTTCAGCCTGTGGAAACGCGTAAACACATATTTTCATAGTTTTGTGATATTATTCTTTGGAGTATAATTTATTATATTATATTTAATGTAGTACCTTGATACTCAGGATAAGTACACACACATTTGTATTTATCGTATTGTATTTCCCTATTTATGGTTTGAGCCAAAGCCTGTGATTTTACTGCATCAGTAGTTCTGAATATTTGTTGTTTGTTCCTGTGTTTTCTGACATCTCTGCTGCAGACACTTGTTCAATAAACACAGCAACATGTTTTTGGACAGTGATAACAAATGCTGACACTTGGTTTATGTTTTTGGAGGGTTTTTTTGGTGACTGAAGTCTCGGGGCTTCAGGCTGTGACCATGTGCAGCCAGAGTCAGCTCTCACCTGGTCTCCAGGTCGGCCGCCTGCTGCAGCATCTCCTGGCTCAGGTCCTGCAGCTGGCTCACGTTGAAGAACTCCATGATGACGGCCTGCAGCTCCTCTCGTCTCTGCTTGGGCAGACCGTCCCCGGCGGTGACCAGGGCCCGGGCCGCCGACCTCACCCTGCGCCTGTCGTGGTCCTCGTGCAGACGGACCACCTCCTCGCAGCCCTGAGGGGCGGCGTACTCCTCGGCCAGCTGCTGCTTCAGAAAGCCGTCGTGCACGTTGGAGGCGGCGTGGCAGCTGGTACACAGCAGCAGGATGTCGTGGGAGTTGTGGTCCTTCATCTCCATGGGGAAGTGACGTCTGTACTCGTGAGGAACCACGTTTTTCCTGCACGACGGGACAGAACATTATATTACAGCTAAAGCGTCACCGGGGGGACACCGAGACGTTCTAATTTTCTTAGGGGTGGGGATCGATCCAATGCTCCAGGTCGGTCTGATATTGGTCAAAATATCAGGATCAAAAAAAAAAAACCATTACAAATGCAAAGTGTTCAACTTAACTTTCACAACATGCCATCAATAAAGACACCATCACCGATGGCATGATGGAGGAGAAGAAAAGACATCGGCTTGATATTGGACATGAAAAGTTGTTGAGCCGTCCCTAAATTTTACCAGCGGTTCAACAAAGGTAGAAAAAAAAAAAGAAAAATATCCAGGTGAGTTTTTACCTGATGTAAGAATCTACTTTTCCACAGACCACACACAGATTCTCTTTGACGGTCAGGTAATAATCCTGCCGAGAGTCTGGACGTCCTGACGGCTCAAACAGCAGCTTCACCACGAACGGATCTTCACTCTGAAGAACTGGATCACAAACACACACACAGACACCCACACACCCGTGAGTTAAAGGGCATGTCAGCTCAGTGACCTTCCAGCTCCTGTTTACATGAAACACAGGGCAGCAGCCAAGTCTGTGTGTGCAGAATGTTGTCATTTTGAGCGTGTGTGTAAGTTTGTGTGTGTGTTGGTTTGGATCAAATGTTCTGATATTGATGTCACCTTTTATGATATTTTAATTGCACTGATTCTACTCTTGAGGAATAGAATTCTTTCATTCTTGATCAAAACATCTACGGCAATGTTTTTTTATTGAATTAAAATTGGGGTTAAAATTGATTTTTTAAATTACAAAACAGTTGGGAACCACTGATCTATGGATCAAATACAGAATCAAATATAAAAAAAAGAAACCCCTCGATTGCAGCCTCAGGTCTATTCTTTGATTCTTAATGTACAAAGTTCTTTCTTGTGTGTGAAAAAGACCAAAAAGTTGCATTTGCCAAGTGTTTTACAGCAGAATGAGGAACACGGAGTCACGGCTCTACCTGCTATCCCCCTGTTCAGGTACCACTTGGCTTTCTTCTTGTCACAGGTGCACAGAGGTTCACCATCAGGAGCGTAGAGGAAGCAGTTATCATAGAGAGGAGACTTCCTGTAAACAAATCAATGACAAGTCTTGATTATTCAGCACAGGGGGGGGGGTGCGTTCACGTCAGACAACAGCCATTCCATTTCCAGTCACCTGGTGGAGTAGCCCAGCTGTTTCCTCTTGGTTTTCTTTCGTAGGTCTGGGACTTGCTGATCTCCAGACTCCGGGCTCTCAGTGCTACTGGGTGCTCTCTTCATTTTCCTCTTCCTCTCTTTTTCAGCACTGCCATCGTCTCCGTCTCCTCGGCCCCTGAAGGGCATGTCCACCAGGCCCTGGCAGCAGGAGGCCAACTCCTCAAAGGAGCGGTAGAGGAAGAGAAGAGGGGGGTGGGGGGTGGGGGGGGGGGGGGGGGGGGGGGGGGGGGGGGTGCGTTCACGTCAGACAACAGCCATTCCATTTCCAGCCACCTGGTGGAGTAGCCCAGCTGTTTCCTCTTGGTTTTCTTTCGTAGGTCTGGGACTTGCTGATCTCCAGACTCCGGGCTCTCAGTGCTACTGGGTGCTCTCTTCATTTTCCTCTTCCTCTCTTTTTCAGCACTGCCATCGTCTCCGTCTCCTCGGCCCCTGAAGGGCATGTCCACCAGGCCCTGGCAGCAGGAGGCCAACTCCTCAAAGGAGGAGCTGGGTCTGGACTCATGCTGGAAACCCAGGAGATGGAAGAAAAGAGCGACGGAAACTTGGGCGTCTCTGGCGGCGTAGGTCATCTGAGGTCACCAGAATGACACATTTATGTAAAAGGTTTTTTTTTTTCCCCCCTTACTTTGGTCATCTGAGGTCACCAGAATGACACAATTATGTAAAAGGTTTTTTTTCCCCTCTCTTACTTTAGAGAAGATTAAAAATAAAGAATCTTCACCTGCTCCATTGTGAGTTCGTCTGCTTCCCAGTCGCTGCAGCGCAGCTCCAGAGATTTATCAAGACTAATGTTCAGCAGATCTGCCGCCAGGGACTTCAGACTGAGGCCGTTACTCACTGTAGCCTGTCTGGTAATGGAGACAAATGCAAATATTCATGTTTCATGTAAAGAAGATCTGCTCTCACAGCATGTACAACTGTGATAGTACAACATGTATAACTTCAGGGGTCCCCAACCCACGGCCCACGGCCCTTACTGGACCGTGGGTAATTTGGTACCCGGCCGCAGAGAAAGAATGAATAATTTACATAATTTAAAGAGAATCCAGTCATTTCAATTGACTTCATCAATTAAAGCTAATTTTAAGATGTTTTATTTAGATTGTTTTTTTATTTATGTATCTATCCTTAACAGTTCTTCAATAATAAGACATGGTGCTACTTGACAGTACCGGGGACCACTGGTTTGGAGTCCAACTAAAACTCAAAGGACTAGACTAACACTTTAGGAAACAAATCAAATGCTGTTATATTCCTATACTGTCCTGCCTCTAAAAAGACCGTCATTATTCGTTCTCTACCTTTCTCTCAAAGCCAGGTACCGCAGGTCTAAAGTACTGGTCAGGGACAGACCGTAGTCGTGTGTCAGACGTTTGCCATCTTCATAGCAACCCACGCCCACTTTCAAAACATGGGGATCTCGTAGAACTTCCATTAAACTGAGCGGGAACGCTTGCTGATTGCCGCGAAACGGCAGCAACCGAACCAGGACGCAGCGGCCTGAATACGATGCCATCTGTAGGAGAGAGACGGCGGAGACCTGGCCCTTCACCGAGACCTGGGACACACAAACCACAGTGTCCCGGTCAGACCAGAACAGCACGAGTTTGAATGATGAGTTTGAAGTTTGAAGTAGAGAAAAATTCCAACCCACAAGAGAAAAAATTAACTAATTATACTAATAAATAATATTATAATTTTAACTAACACTAGTTGTAATTTGTAATTTAATATGGCCTAACACCATCCAGCTGTGTTAGTGGGGGAAAAAAATCCAACAAATCATATTTCATACTAATATTAAGTGAGAAAAGTAAATCCTGGGTGGATTTTTCCTCTGTGTGATCTTAAACATGCAAACATATCTCTTACGCCATTGGTCTTTACCCATTCACAGTCCAGCCCCAGCACAGGGAAGACGGACAGCTCCTTCTGCATCACTGGCCACAGCTGATGCCATTCCTCTTCAGAGCTCACCAGCGCCGGCTGCACATCCAGCAGCTTCTCTGAAGTGGGGATCTGTACAGGAGGGTGCGCCGCCACGGGCTTCTCTTCAACATTGAGTGTTTTGACCCACTGACAATCCACAGCTGCCAGGTTCTTCTCCACAGGTGTAAGAGACTCAGCGCTATCAGCTAGCTTCTGGACGAAAGGTAGCTCGGCGCTATCAGCCGCCTTCTGAATGAAAGGTAGCTCGGCGCTACCAGGCGCCTTCTGAACGAAAGGTAGCTCGGCGCTATCAGCCGCCTTCTGAACGAAAGGTAGCTCGGCGCTATCAGCCGCCTTCTGAACGAAAGGTAGCTCGGCGCTACCAGGCGCCTTCTGAACGAAAGGTAGCTCGGCGCTATCAGCCGCCTTCTGAATGAAAGGTAGCTCGGTGCTATCAGCCGCCTTCTGAATGAAAGGTAGCTCGGCGCTACCAGCCGCCTTCTGAATGAAAGGGAGCTCGGCGCTATCAGCCGCCTTCTGAATGAAAGGCAGCTTCTTTCTTTTGGTTATGTACACCTGCCACACCAGCAGCCCACCCAGGGCGGTTCCTAGTACTGTTGTGATGAGAGCTGTCATAGGCCCTCTGTGTGACATGGTGACTGGGGGGTGGAGGGGAGGCTGTGGACAAGCTGGAAAGTGGAAACCAAGTATTAAAGTACTAACAACTGAGAAGGAGATGTATATGTAAAAAAAAGAACCAGTTTTGCTGTTCACTTAAAACATATACGAGCACATATTTACCTAATTATGATGTCATTCTGTCTACTCCAGGTTGGATTAAACTTTATCTGCATGTACTTTAAACCACATTAGTATACATTGCAATAATTTGCAAATTATAGTGAAATAGCTACAGCAACAACTGATACAAAATTGGTCATAATAATAATACAATATATTTCATAATTTGCACATGTTCATTTTTATGACTTAAATTCTCTAGACAAAACACAAACATCAACTTCTGTGCCAAAGCCTGGTTAAAGCGTTAGCTTAGGCTAGTACTGGTCCGGTGGACAAATGACCACAAATGATAAACTACTAACAAAACACTGCAAGACTGAGCTCACGTTAACGTCAACTATAGAGGAGCTCACTCACAGAAAAACCAACTGTTTTAATCGTGGAAGTTGAGCTACCGCTTAGCAGCCGCTAACAGTTCCAACAACTCCTGCCAACAATGACAGTTTATTCTTATCAAATATCAGTCCGACATTCCTTCTAGCATGGTTCATATTTCATTAACAGTGTATTGTCTTGACTATGACCAGATGTTCTCACTGAAACCAGCTCAAACACCTCCGTCGGTTCGAACGCCACACACAGGTTTAGGCTACCGGGCTAACACGTTGAATTAGCCAAGGAGATTACCCTCATTTTGACACGACAGTTCACAAACACTGTCGGTGACACGTACGTGTGACTTAAAACCTTACCTTTACGTTTCAACGCAGCTCTGTGTCACGCTGACACTCTCACATGTGTGTTTGTTTCTGTTTGCTAAATCCTACCACGTCTTCCTGCCTGTATTTATATCATTGCCGCTGCGCCTAGAAACAGCTGTGGCTGGTGCCCTCTAGTGGAAGGACGGACTAATAACACTTAAGTCCCAATGTAAGGGGTACACTTGGTTTTCACTTACCGCTTTGTTTTTATAAAACATTAGGCCAATTTTTAGTTTATTATAATCCCGCTTAAATACACATTGACCCTGAATTTGATTTGACACTCACAACAGCCAGACAGACAACAAGAGTATCATCTGTGAAAATGTCTACAGTACATCCTCATAGATTTGTGGTTTATGTATACAACTACTGCTAAAGTTTACAACTTAATGTTTTGAGCTGGGGCGCCCAGTGGAGTTTGTTAGAGAGGATTGCCGGTCCAAATCCTAGCCTGGGCAGGTTTATAGTGTGTTTAGTTTCCTATTCTTCCTGTTTAATATGTGTTAACTGCAAGAGAAAAAAAAAAGTTTTGTGTATACTTTTGTACAATGACTAAGTTATTTTTCATCTTCTTTTTTGTATTCAGCGCAGTTTCAGTTGAAACACAAAGGTGTCGGTGAAGGACTCAGACCACACATTCCTCTACCACCATCAATTTATTCAATCTTTTAGCTTCAATAGTTCTCCAAAGAAGTGGAATTAAGTCATGAAATAATTACAAAATGGAAAAATAGATCAGAGAAAGATCATAT